AGGTAGTAAGAGGATCTCATAAGAGGTGAGACAGCTGGCTGAAAGATGTTGTGTGTGGTGAGAACTTAAGAGGCCTCCACTGCATGGGGTATAAAAATGGTTAAAGGGGGTCCCACAACTATTTCCTTGGTGGCCTGAACAAAAAGGGCAGTGGCAGGAATGGTTCTAAGGCAGGAAGGGTCTCCTTTTGCTACAGGGTCCAGCTGCTGGCTAGAGTACCCTATGGGTCCCGTGTGGTTCCTGTGTATTCATGTGAGCACCCAGAGGGCACTCACTTCCTTCTCATACATAAAAAGGAAAAAGGGGAGCTGGCAGTTTGGATGCCTAAGGGCAGGGGAGTTTATGAAGCTCTCTTTTTTTTCCTCCCCAAAGCCCCAGTACATAGCTGTATATCCTAGTTGTAAGTCCTTCTGGTTCTTCTATGTGGGATGCTGCCACAGCATGGCTTGATGAGTGGTGTGTAGGTCTGTGCCCAGGATCCGAACCAGCAAACCCTGGGCTGCCAAAGTGGAGTGCACAACCGTAACCACTCGGCCATGGGGCTGGCCTCCTATGAAGCTCTCTTTTAGGACTTTGAAGGCTGTGCCATCCTGTTCTCCTCACAAGATTGCATCTTGGTTCTTGTTTCCTAGTGAGACATACAAGAGTTGGCCATAAAAGAAAAATTTGGGATCCAATTTCAGTAGTAGCCAACCAGCCCAACCAGCCCATGACAACCTCACAGCTGACAGTTGGGGATTTGGGGAAGCTCAGGACACCATGAAGACTGTCTGGATCTAGGTGCAGCCCTGGTTCTGATATGAAGTGCCCCAAACACCAAACCTGGGGTTGGACAAACTGCACTTTCTCCTTGGCGACCTTGTGTCCCTTTAGAGCTAAAAGCCTTAGTAAGCAGATGTTGTCTCTTGCTGTGAGGAGGCCTACGGAGAAGAGGAAAGAAGCAAATCATCTACACACTGCAGCAAAGCAGAACCTCTAGGAAACTGTGCGTCATCCAGATCTGCCTTCAGGACTCGTGGAAAGTACGGACTCACAGTAAAGCCCTGAGGCATCACTGTCCAGGCGAATTGTTTTCCTTCCCGAGTGAAAGTGAAGAGGTACTGGCTGTCATCACCTGGGACAAAGGAACATGCTGCACAAGTTGGTCACGGTGAAGAATCTGCTTTCAGGTGGGACAGCTGCCAGGGTCAGAAACAACTGGGAGCCGAGGAAGGAAAATGATATTTATTGCTCAGAGGTCATGGACCATCTCCATCCTCTGCCACTGGGTTTTCTTACAGTTAAAATAAGAGTGTTACAAGGACTAGTACAGGGGATAAGGAAGCCTTGGGCCTTACAATCTTCTATTACTGGCCCAAAGCCTCGGAGAGCTTCTTTATCTATAGGGTATTGATTAATTTTAGAGAAAGGCTTTGAAGGCTCTATTTTGGATTTTGGTAAGATGTCCACTGTGGACTCTGCCCATATCAGTTGCAGACTCTGTCCATAAGGAGGGTTGTAACTAGAGATAAACGGCTAGTGTCCTTAAAATTGGTTTTAAGGTTGTCAGAGATGGAGCAACTAAAAGATGTTGAAGGGTCGTTTGACTCACCTAGTTGACCATTTTGGTTGCTGCTATCACTGCTGCATCAAATTCTAGAATTATTTCCCCCTTTTGGGAGAAAGAATTACCAGCATAGTATTTCCTCAAGAAATCTTGGCCCAACAGATGAATAGGAGCAGAGGAACTAAGGAGAAAAGAGTGAGTGTCCCTCAGAGGGCCCAGACAAAACGGGATGGGTTAGACACAGGGGCCTGCTGGGGTTGTTTGAGACCCCACTGTTTGAACGGTTTCAGTTCTCCGAGGCAGGGGCTGTTTCCTAACAGTGGGCTTGAGCACCGGGACTGTAGCACTGGTGTCAGTCAGTCTGGGGAAAGATTCATTCCCAATCTGGAGAGTGCTTTCCCCCAGGTGATTAAGGGAAAGGACTGGGAAGAGCCCCTGTGCTTTTTCCGAGCCCTGACATTGGGGATGGAGAAGCCATTGGAAGGATTAGTTGGGGGCTGAAAACCTCTGGAAATTTTTAGCTTGGGGCAGTCCTTTCCCCACTGTCCTGGCTCTTTACAGAAATGACAAAGACCAGAAAATTTCTGGTTTCATCCAGAGGCCTCCATTTTTTGGAGATGAAAATTTACGATTTTTGTGGTCTTTTTTTCTAGTTAAATCCTCTAAGGTGCAGGCAAGATGAGTTGCCACATTTACCAAATCTGGAGTGGACGTGGCCTCCCACTCCGCCAGGTTCTCTTCACTAACAGGGAAAGATCCTCGGTCAGTGCATTAACAAACACAGAATTAAAAGCTGTCCAAGTAGATTTAGTTTCCATGGGAGGCCCGAATCTTCTTTGAAAAAGATCTGAAGTCAACTCCAATAGTCAGGAACAGGTTCATCAGGCTTTTGCACACAAGCCTGAATTTTGCTCTAATCAACAGGCTTGGGAAAGGCTCCTGGGATGGCTTCGTGGGGTTTTCCAGAAAGTGTTCTAACCTCTTACCAAAAGTTAGGAGTTCGTTTTCCTAAATCTGTTTCAGGTTGTTCCCATTGGGCAAGTTTCATCCAATGTTGGGCCTGGCCTTCCCCCAAAAGCATGTGAACTAGCTGATGTAAATCTGAAGACCCAGGCTGGTAGGTCTGAACCACTATATTAAATTCATCAGCAAATCTATGGGGGTCCTCAGTTGCCTTTGGAAAATCCTTAACAATGGCTCACAATTCAGCTTTAGTCCAGGGAACATGAGAGATCTGAAGTTTGGCTTCTTAGAGGGTTTACATTTAAAACGGAAGGTTCTAACAGGTTCAGAAGAAGGGGCAAGGGTACGTTCAGAGGAGGATGGAAGTTCGGCAAGAGAATTTGAGTGAGGGAGTGGAGGGTACAGAGAAGGTGGGGGAGGTGCAGAGGAGAAGAGACGAAGATGGCCTCAGGGGCAAAGCCTGGGCACAAGGTGGCTGCCAGAGTGGGGTCTGAGTCAAAGGAGTCTGGAAGACAAACAAGATGGCATCTGAGACAGAGAAAGGGGAAAGGGGCAGGCGGCTTCAGAAGCCGTTTTGTTCTCCCTCCGTTTTTGAGTTGTTTCAGCTGATTTAGACAAGGTATCTGGTAGTGAGTCGATTTTAGAGCTTTGTGCGCATCCAGAAACCGCCAGGCACCAATGGAAACAGACGTATTGTTCATTTTGCTTAATTTTAGAGCTGTGGTCTTCCAATCTGGTTTTAAGAAAAGTGATTTTGGGGCGATCGAAAGTTCCCCATAGTGGCCATTGCAGTTCTGGACTGCTTTTGGTCTGTTTGGCCCACTTACTTAAAAATGGACATGTAGGAGGCCCAAAGTTCTTAAACATAAACCCAGCAGGGTCCCCAAAGGAGAGTCGCCCTCAGAACATTTAGATGACTGGGATCCCATTTCTGAAATTTTTTCTGAAAACCCAAGAAAGTTGCTATCGTCCTAGCCCTGATCCCCAAAGGAATCTAAAGATAAAAGAAAGTTGCTGGATTCCCATCCTTGATTCAAAAGGAATCTGAAAACTAAAGAAAAACTCCTGGATTCTCAGCAAGCTGGAGCCCCAAAAGGAACTGTGCTACCTTCAGAAAACACACAGCAAGGGCAACGCCTTGAACCTGGAGGACAAAGTTCCTCTCCCAATCCCAAATAAAGTGAGAGAGCCCAGAACACACGGAGAGTGCAGAGCGGAGCTCGGAATCTGAGAGGACACTCACCAGGCCGAAAGCAGGCCACAAGTCACAGACACGATAGCACAAGGGGCTCAGTGTGGGTACCTCGTTCAGTTCTGGGGGCTGCCATCTCTCAGGGGTTGCCTCCTTTGGATCCCACTTCTGACATCAAATATGTTAACTTGAAAAGGCTCAAAACAAGTTTATTTGGGAGAAGTCAAAATAACTGCAATTGAGGATTTCCATGCTACAAGAACCACAGGCAAATCTGGAGAACACAGGAGGGAGCAGCTTTTACAGAGAAAAGGGGGAGAGGGCAGGGCTGCTCTAGAGGAAAGACCACTGGGGTAGAGGAACAGATCAGGGTGGGGACGGCTCTTCATTGGCTGGGCTGTGGCATTTCTGATTGGCAAAGCTGCAGTGTTTCTGATTGGCTGAGCTGCAGCATTTCTGATTGGCTGGGCTATGGCATTTCTGATTGGCTGGACTGTGGTGTTTCTGATTGGCTGGGCTGTTACCGGGTGGGAGAGAACTCTTCCCTCAGAGGTAAAGTGGTTGTACTTCCTGTTTGGAGTGACTGAGGTTGTGCTGGGGCCGGGGCTGCCCTGCAGGCCTCCCTGTACAGCGTAGGTGAGGTTTCTGTTATGAATTTACACAGGGGTACATGCATTCTTGTATCCATCCTTCTCCTCCAGGGTTTCACTGTCATTTCCTACTGTAAGGGGTGAAGTCTGACGTCTGCAACTCTGCCAGCGTGTAGGTGGGGAAAACCAATGCAGTGTAAGCACGAACGGTTAATAACCAAAAACCACCATACAAAGGACCACGTGAGAAATTCAGTGGTAGTCTTCAGCCTATTCAGAGAACTTACAATGGGTGTTTAAATATCAATTCAGAGATAACTAAAGACACACAATCCCAGTGTAACCCAATCCGTGTGGGATAAGGACGATGTTGGGGAGAGATTCGGGAGGGGGCAACTACATCAGATCACGTGTCACCTCCCGGCATAGAGCCCCTCCCAACTGCGGCAGAAACATAGGCTGCAAATGCCCCTGGACGCCTGTCTGGGGTCCAAGCTCAGCTCTCAGCAGGGGGTGTCGGGGACAGCTGTCCTGAGCGTCCCCAGGGCGCCTGGACATAAGGTGAAAAAGGAACCGCCTTCACCCAGCAGATGCACTCCATGGTCAGTGTAGTGTAAACAGCACTGTAGGTCCTCGTGGCTGCGGCTCTCTGCCCCGCACAAGCATCACACACCGAGAACTCGGCCCATGCAACGGAACGAGAAGATACCTTTTTTCAGGTTCAAAATCCACATGGTGTCCAGGGCGTCGATCAGAGTGAGGCCGAGGCCAAACCACTCGCTGAAGGACCTGGACACAGGTTTCAGCTCGTCGTGGCCCCAGGCAAACTTGCGGTATCCGGTCCAGGCATGGCGGAAGGCCTCTATCACGGCCTTCTGGCGCCCGTTCGGGGAGCCTGGAAGGAGGGAAGCAGGTCAGGAAGACTAGCCCCAGTCAGGGCGCAAACAGAGACCCTCTGTGGCCCCTGTGAGTGACCCTGACATGGGGGACACCATCCAGGGCCACGGGCAGCAGTGGACAGCAGGGAAGGTTGGGGCTCAGAGCCGAAGGTCTGACCCTCACAGCTGGACACAGCCACCAAGCCAGCAAGGCCTCCGGGGCCCGCACACGACAGCTTGGACTCTCGAATGCCTGGCCAGGTCCTGTCAACCTCCACCAGGGGCCAGGCAGGTACTACCCTCTGGGGCCACAGGGAGCACTCTGCAGGAAAAGGCATTTGAGGCAGCAGACCAGTGTGGTGGATCCCGTGGCAACGTGTGCATTCCACTCCAGGTTTGGGAATGTCAAACATGACAGGGGCTGGGGACTCAGACAAGAACACCTAACCTCACAGGTACCCACGTTCTGCCACTTCAGCTCCAGGCATTTTCAAGGAAATACCGTGGAGCAGATGCACCCAAGGCCCCTCTCTGGCCTTTCCAGAGCCCCCTCAGGACGACGAGGGGAGGCATCTTCTCTCCATGCATGGGAGGACCACATACAACACACAGGGTTCCCACGTGGATGGGTCCCTGTGTGTCCACGGCCCTCACACCACACGTCCTCTGAGTGTGGCGTGAAGCCTATTCGTGTTGACAGCCACGGCTGTGCCCGTCCCGTCCGAATGGCAACACAATCACTTCTGTATCCCCCATGACCGGCTACAAGTCCTGGGGCCTGGGCTCCCTCATCCTTCCATCAGAGGCACCAGCAGGACGATGGAGAGTCATGGGCCTGGGACCCAGATTCAGCTGGCCTGCACAAGACCCCACACATGAGGCAGATGGCCTGGGCAGGTACTGACCTAACCCCGGTTCTCGTCTGTGCAATGGGGATCCAAGAGACTAATTACCTCAAAGGGCGTCGTCAGAATGAGGCAGACAGGCTGCACACAGTTTACGAAGCGCCAGTGCCCAGCAGGCCCTCAAGGACCAGAGCCAGAACACAGGGACCCACAGAGCTGCCCAACCCAGCAGGCCTGGGTGGAGACGCCAGGGAGCAGCTATCTGCACATCCTCAGGCCCCTGGTGGCCCAGACACTGCAGGGAGATGAGCCCCGAATACGCGCTCCTCCTGGGGCTGAGGCATGGGACCACGGGCCATCAAGGAGCCACAGGTGGTCGCCAGAGCTCTAAAGAGCGTGTGACCCCAAGGACCTGGGCCCACCTGGGTGAGGAGGGATGACCAGCACGTGAAGGGACAGCAGTGCTCCACCACATACCCTGGACGCCCATCTGCCTGTCCACATGCCCTTTCCCTCAGAAGGCCCAGATGAGGCTGGGAGGGCACAGGTGGGGCCTTACCTGGTTGATTCTGAATCCTGGTGGCCTGCAAGGCAGGCCCGGTGGGGGCGTCTGCCTTTCTGGAGGGGGCTTCGGTGCCCTGCTCAGGCTCAATCACTGCTCCCCTCCAGCTGCAGGGAGGGAAGGAAGAGCAGTCAGCCAGCGCAGGGCACAGATGCAAACGCCCCGGGGTCACCGCCCCACTGTGCTCAGCCCCACCTTCCACGCGGGAGGACTTTAAGAAGGCAGGGCCCTGCCCTCACGATGGGGCGCACAGTGTCTGCTTCGCAAGGAGAATATCCTGCAGACGTTATGCTGGTTTTTTATCTTTGTTTTTCAGAAAAGGAAACACCAAATGGACCAGCCGCAGCGTTTCCGCACGTTCAGACCCATCTCTGGTGCTCCTTGTACCTGACGTTCTCTGGGCGTTTTCTTTCTGGCGAGCGCCACCTTCAGCCTCTTCCCTCCTCTGCGTGTCACCCTGCCTCATGTCCTTCGAGCCTTTATCGGGGGCTCTAATCTGCAGGTTGGGTGGTCCCCGTCGGAAATGCCGTGGAGGCTTCTAGACAAAAGTGAGAGTCACTTGTGAAAGTAACTGCGAGCCTAGGAGCCGCTGTTCCTTTTCCCTCTGGGACACTCTCCCAGTCAAACCCAACCCCACGGGCGCGGTGGACGGGCCGAGGAGCACAGCCCCAAAGGAAACTGTTTTCATTTGTCATCACGAATGCAGACTCGGGAGGCAGGTCCTTCTGCACGCTCTCCTGGCCCTGACCACCCTGCTGGAGACTCTGCCGACGGGTCAGCGCAGCCCTCGACAGCGGGTTCAGCCCCTGGCCCGGCATATTTCCAGGCTGTCACAGACCCTAGGGGTAGCAAGAAAGGCTTAGAACCACATCCTCAAAGAACACTGTTGCCCTGGCACTGCCCCGCTTCATCCTCAGAACAAAGCGGGAGGCAGAGGGTGCCGGGGCCAGGGACAGAGCGCAGGGCTCAGGCGCTGTGTTGAGTGCAGCACTCTCCCGGACGGGGTGGCACCCTCAACAGTGGGTGTGACGACGGCTCCTCCCGAGGACGAGGACGGGAAGGAGGACGACTTGCAATGGAAAAGTCTCTGCTTTTCAGCGTCCCCGTAATCCGGGAAGACGTTCTCCTTGTAAAGATGCAACCGACTCAGAGCTGGGCCCCTTGGCAGAGAGAGTGGGGTGTGGCCCTGCCACAGCACCATGGCTGAGACAGGTCTCAGGAACAGTCCTGGGGTCCTCACAAGAGAGGCCCCAGGGCCTGCAGAAGGGCAGCCTTCCCCGAGGCCTTGCAGCAGAGACGGACACTTTCACCCCTTACCATCCAGACCCTGCTGGACACCAGAGACTGGACTACAGACATTTCGCACAGTGGAAATGTGCCTTTTGCTGGGGAAACATGCCACGTTCTGCTTTCACACACTTCAGAGTCCATATGCAAAAGAGAGGCCCAAAGAAGCGAGAGAAACGCTTGTCCCTTCCAAAGGGGAGGAAATTCTCCTTTCTACACACAGAGTGAGAGTGAGACAGTGTGGAGAGTGGGCTCCTCTCTCTCCCCAGGGCAGCCCTGCAGGGTGGAGCCAGCCCCTGGCCCAGGATCCTCTCCCCGGGGCCGCCTCAGCCCACATCGATCCCCTGACTAGCGACCAAGAGTGTCCCCAGGTCAGAGGGCACTGGGTTCTCAAAGGCATGCTCTGGGAGGGGATGGTTCTTGCTTCTCTGGCTGCCTCCTGACTGCCCTCTCGTCTCCACGGCCTGTCTTCTCCTCCCCAGCCCAGATGGTAAGGGTGGGGGTGCCTCCAGATCATGCCCGGCCCTTCCTCCTCCCTTTCTAGACAACACACACCCCTTACTGTGGACTCTCAAACCTCTCCCGTGCCCAGACTCTGATCCTGACCTCGTGGCACGTGCACTTCTCCTTGGGGCCCCAGGAACCTGGAACTGGGCAGGTCCAGAAGGGAGCACCTGCATGTCCCCAGCCAGGAACTACTTGGCTTCTGCTGGCCCCTCCCTCCCCTTGAAGCAGGCCCAGTCCTGCCCAGCCTTTCTCCAGCCGCACACTCTCCCCACGGTGCAGGCAGCTCAGCTCTCCTGCCTCCTGCCTCCACTCCTGATGCTCCACACCACGTCTCCACCCAGCGGCCAGAGAATCTTCACGGTGAAAATCTCAGACATCCCACCTCAGAGCCTTCCCGTGTCTGTGCCCCTGAAGCCTCTAGTGCTGCTCACGCCCCCACGAGGACCCACAGGGCCCTCTGCACTGAGCCCAGCCCCCTCCCCTGTCTGTGCCCCTGAAGCCTCTAGTGCTGCTCACGCCCCACGAGGAGCCACGGGGCCCTCAGCACTGAGCCCAGCCCCATCCCGTGTCTGTGCCCCTGAAGCCTCTAGTGCTGCTCATGCCCCACGAGGACCCGCAGGGCCCTCTGCACTGAGCCCAGCCCCATCCCGTGTCTGTGCCCCTGAAGCCTCTAGTGCTGCTCACGCCCCGCGAGGACCCACGGGGCCCTCTGCACTGAGCCCAGCCCCATCCCGTGTCTGTGCCCCTGAAGCCTCTAGTGCTGCCCACGCCCTGCGAGGACCCGCAGGGCCCCTCTGCACTGAGCCCAGCCCCCTCCCGTGTCTGTGCCCCTGAAGCCTCTAGGGCTGCTCATGCCCCGTGAGGACCCGCAGGGCCCTCTGCACTGAGCCCAGCCCCCTCCCGTGTCTGAGCCCCTGAAGCCTCTAGGGCTGCTCATGCCCCGTGAGGACCCGCAGGGCCCTCTGCACTGAGCCCAGCCCCCTCCCGTGTCTGAGCCCCTGAAGCCTCTAGTGCTCCTCACGCCCCGCGAGGACCCATGGGGCCCTCTGCACTGAGCCCAGCCCCGTCCCGTGTCTGTGCCCCTGAAGCCTCTAGTGCTGCTCACGCCCCACAAGGACCCACAGGGCCCTCTGCACTGAGCCCAGCCCCCTCCCCTGTCTGTGCCCCTGAAGCCTCTAGTGCTGCTCATGCCCCACAAGGACCCACAGGGCCCTCTGCACTGAGCCCAGCCCCTGGCTCCGCCCAGGCCCTCCTGCCCAGGCCAGTTTCATTGCCCTCCAGCCACGCTCTCCCGACTCTACGCAGCGCCAGCGGCTCCTCAGCCTTTGGACTGCGATTCAGTGTCCCCTGGTCGGAGAGCGCTCCCTCACCGGCACCCGCTCCAGCCCTGTCTCCCGGGTGGCTGCTCTCTTCCCTGTGGGAGGCGCACCCCGGGCCACCTGCCTGCTTCTGTTTGTTGCTGTGTCTCGCCTTCCCTCCCGCCAGCCTGCAGCTCTGAGGGAAGGGACAGGTCTGTTTGTTCATCACCTGACACAGCATCCGGCACACAGCAGGTGCTCCAAGAAGAACAAAGGAGAGAACAGCCCTCCTGCCTTCCCCAAGCCTCGTCCAGCCAGCCCAGGATAACGAGTGTGAAGTGAAAACATCAAACAAACGCTAAGACAAAGAATTCATCCCAATCTGGTGGAAACATCACGTGTTTTCAAGTGCTTCTGGAACTGACCCCGGTTGCAACTCCACGTTCGCTTTATCGAAAGTACCTGAGGTAAGACCCCCGGGACGTGTTCTGCCTTAGCATCTGCCTTCTGAGGAGCTGGCAAGACGGGTGGCTTTGCTGGTCTCATCTTGTGCTCTTCTGCGGACCTGCCAGCTGGGGCTAAACAAGAGAATGTCATGTATCTCACATAGGCCACAGGCCTAGAGGAGACTCAAAGTGGGCGGAGAACACGCGCAGACGGGTGTTATTCCCTACGGGGGAGAGCAGGCGCCCTCAGCACACTCACTTAACTGTGCAAGAATGGCCAAAGACAAAGGAAACCAGGAACAAAACGAAAAGACAACCCACCAACCGGGAGCACGTATTTGCAAATCATGTATCCGAAAAGGGGTTAATTTCCAAAATATATAAAGAACTCACACAACTCAACAACAAAAAGACAAACAACCCGATGGAAAAACGGACACAGGATATGAACGGACATTTTTCCAAGAAGACAGACAGATGGCCAACAGGCACATGAAAAGATGTTCAATGTCACTAATCATTAGGGAAATGCAAATCAAAACGAGAGTGAGATATCACCTCACACCTGTCAGAACGGCTATAATTAACAAGACAAAAAATAACAAATGTCGCAGAGGACATGGAGAAAAGGGAACCCTCATACACTGCTGGTGGAAATGCAAATTGGTGCAGCCACAATGGAAAACAGTGAGAAGATTCCTCAAAAACACAAAAATAGAAATACCGTACGATCCAGCTGACCCACAACTGTGTTTCTATCCGAAGAACATGAAACCAACAATACGACGAGACTATGCACCCCTTTGTTCACTGCAGCATGAGTCACAATAGCCAAGACATGGAAGCAACCCAAGTGCACTTCTACAGGAAACTGGATGAAGATGCGATGTCTACATATAGAGGATGGAAGACTAATCAGCCGCAACAAAAACCAAAATCGCCCCATTTGCAACAATATGGATGGACCTTGAGGGTATTATGGTAAGCGATATAAGCCAGATAGAGAAAGACAAACACCGTATGATTTCACTCACAAGTGAACATAAACTAACACACGGACAAAGCACACAGTGGTGACCAGAGGGGAAGGGGGAGGGGCAAAGGGGCACATTTATATGGTGACGTAAAAATTAGACTATTGGTGGTGAGCACAATGCAGGCTATACAGAAACTGATATATAATAACGTACACCTGAAATTACACAGCGTTACAAACCAATAGGACCTCAGTTAAAAAAAAAAAAAAAGGAATGGCCAAAGAATCAAAGCTTTTAAAAACACTTGGCAGTTTTGTCCTTATCCCCAAGCCATAACCCAAAATACCTGGCCTTAATCTTCCACTCCAGGAGGCACAATTGGTGGCAAACAGGCCGTTTACTTGAGTGACCTGGGGCAGCTCTTAAGCTTTCCTCCTAAAAGAAGCAATCTTAGAGAAATTCAGGATTCTCTACATCCGCAGCAGAACTCGGCCCGGTCCTTTCCAAACCCGCGTTAACATGTGTTATGAAATTCGCCCAATGCATTTAGGCTGAGCATTCAACGTCAGGACTGAATTTCTCTGCGAGACGCAGAGGAGGGAGGTACCAGGACTGACGCCAGACACTCAGGAGCAGTCACACGTCAGTGAACATCCCCGTCCTAGCAAGGCGGGTGAAACACTGAGCTTCCTTCTATCTGAGTTTCTGCCGAGTCGCTGACATTCGTGCCTCCTGGAGCGGGTGAAGGCAGACTGCAAGACCGCTTCTGCCTGTCCACCCTCCACGACCCACACCTGTCATTTTAAGGCACACGAGTAGCTGATACCTGTCCACTGGTCAGCCACGCTGATGTAGGACAGGAGCCCACAGAGCAGCAGAAACGCGAGGAGGAAGAGGATCACATTCCGCTGTAATCTCGACAGCTGCTTCCATTTCTAAGGGAAGGACAGAGAAGGACACTTTTTACCGAAAATAATGCAACTGGAACTTTCTCCAAAGGCCAGAAACTCAGCGAGGATGACGAGTAATTCAGAAGGTCAGGGGCGAGTTCTCTTGTTTCTGAACCTTGTTCCCTCTCAGCAGGGACCACGGGCTGGGACGACACACGTAAGATGAAATAACAGACGTGGAAGCCACCTCTGTCGTGTTGCGCGGGCGGCGGAGGACGAGTCCCACACCTCGCGTTCTGGCTTACACCCGGCCGGGTCTTGCACCTGCCCAGATGCGGTGTGTGGACGCCCTGCGGCCCAAGACCACCAGGGACCGCACGCGGTTAAACAGGTGGTGCTTGTTCCTCTTCGTGCTGAGGGAGACCCTACAGCGGGGACCTTAGGTGTCTCAGTAAGAGGGTGTTAGGAAGCTCCAGGAGCTGACGTTTATTTCCCGGTCCCCCTTTATGCCAAGGACTAATGACGTCAGGCCACAGGACATTAACTAATGATATAGAGATTTCCCACTTCTGGGGTTTTGTTGATTAAACTCAAAAGAGTGTGCACTTAAGGTGTGTGCTGTTGAGTCAGGGAGCATCTTTCTTCTCTTTTTGGATGAGTGGTTGAACCATTTGACATGACAATGGCTTTCAGTAGTATTTAAGACTGGGCATGGGGCCGGCCCTGTGGCGCAGAGGTTAAGTTCGCACGTTCCGCTTCTCGGGCGCCCGGGTTTCGCCGGTTCGGATCCCGGGTGCGGACATGGCACCGCTTGGCATGCCATGCTGTGGTAGGCATCCGACATATAATGGAGAAGAAGATGGGCACGGATGTTAGCTCAGGGCCAGGCTTCCTCAGCAAAAAGAGGAGGACTGGCAGCAGATGTTAGCTCAGGGCTAATCTTCCTCAAAAAAAAAAAAAGAGACTGGGCAGGATCATTGGCTAATTGTAACACAGGCAATTGGCAGAAATAAAATGATGGTTATTCCTTGTAATAGGCTTTGAAGCCAAGAATGTAGATTTGAGACCAGGCAATGAAAACAGCTGGGTCTGTTTTAGGTAGCTTCCTCCTCCCTCTATCCCTCCCTTTTTTTTTTTATCCTAGTCACAGATGATTATTTTCTCTGTAGTATTTTTTCTCTGTATTCTCTGTAGTAGTATTTTCTCTGTGGTATTAACAAGAAATATTATAGGAAACATTTTCCCTCGGTTAGCTAAGAGGAAATCAAGGACTATGGAATAATCCATGACAACTCCGGTTAGTGTTAGAAAACTCTAGGTTTTCTTTAGCTTTTAAAGCTGTGAAACAGAAGAAAGGAAACCTCATTTAAAATGGGGTCAGGAGGCCAAAACCCTCACCCACTGCTACTCCACATCAATTACAGACCCCAACAGGAAGGCATCAGTTATGGACTCCAACAGGAAGAAGCGTCAATTACTACCCCAGCAGGAGGAAGGAAGATTTCCTCCTTGACCAGCAACTCAGCCAATGAGAAACAATCACCACCCTGAACTCTCACTCTCCTCCAATGGACTTTCATTCAAAATGACCCCTTCCAACCTCCTCCTTTTTCTCTCCAAAGTAATGTTCCTCTCCTTTGTTTCTGGACTTGCCAGTGGTTTTTGCTATAGCTTACTTGTCTCGAATTGCAGTTTCTCTGTATTCCTGAATAAACCCATTTTGCTGGTAAAATAACTGGCTATTTTATTTGTTTAGGTCAACATTACATGATGATCAGAAGTGGGACCCAGAGAAGACCCCCAACAACTCTGAGGCTGGTGAGAAACGGGTGCTGGTACCCACAGAGCCCACCGGGCGCACTGCTTTCTGGCCGACCCTGGAGTTGGAGGGTAAGTCTCTCCTGGATCCCAAATCTGCTCCCTTTGGGTTTTGAGCTCTCCGGGTTTATTCAGATCTGTTGCATACAGGCTTCATCCTTTCTGTTTAAAGCCTTTGTCCTTTCTGTGAGTACCCATTTGTATAGTTAGGCCTATTGGAAGTGTGTAGCATTTGGCTTAATTGCTTTGGAATTGGGAATTTTTCTTTTGCTCTAGAGAAAAGGCTCTAAGAAATGGGATCCCAGGCATCTGAATGCTTTGAGGCTCCCCCTTCAGGGACCCTGGCCAGTTTTATATCTAAAAACTGCACTTCATCCTCATGTGCATTTCTACCTAATGGACTGACATAATCAAGAGTAGTTTAGATGCAGAACTTTATAAAAGAAAAAATGAATCCAAAAAGCACCCTAAAAATGATCCTTATATCATGCAAATTAAAAAAACCTTTAGTTAAAAAAAAAACTTTGGCCATTGGAGCAGGTAACCTTAACTTAGTCCTTCTGCCAGAAAATTTTTATGAGTTTTGTACCTGAGATATGGCTAAAAATTTAAACTAAGACACTAAGATCTCTGTGTTTATCTGTATGTTATGTATGTCCAAGTATGTATGTTATAGATCTGTGATCTTGGTCTACCTACAGATAGTGTTGCCAAAATTAATTTGGAAAAGAGCTCTATTTAATTGGCTTAAGGAAAATCAAATGCTTATATAAAAGAATTCTCAGGAATATAATAAAAATTAATGCAAATGCTTTTCAAGTTCCCGTGATGTGGGAAAATATTTGGGATTAAAGCTAGTTTGTTTGTTCATTTAATTAAAACAGGCATGTCTTTAGTTGTCTGCATTAAATATAACATTATGATTCTCTGTTGCAAAATTTGTCAGCAAAAAAACATTCACTTGAGATGATGGCTGATTTTGTCTAATATCTCGTGAAAGTTTTGTCAATAATCTGAATATAATTGTTGGGGGCAAATTATTTAGATAGATGAAAATGAGATAAGAACTTTTAGGCGCAATAATTATGTTTTATGTTTGCTTAAAATAGCACCCCAAATCTTTTTGGGTAATTTAAAACTTTAGTGTTTTGGTAAGTTAAATGATGGGATTTCATTGAATATCTGAATCATTCTCCAAACGAGATAAAATACTGAAACATTAATTACTGAACATAGGTTTGTCCTCTTTTGGCTTCCTAGTGTAGATAAACCAAATACAAATTTGGTTCTGTTAGTAACCATGTCTTGTGTCACATTGAAAGATTATACTCTCTAAAAGGGCATGTGTTTCTAGAAATTATGAAATACATTTATAAATTTACCAGTCCACAATTGCTTACTTCTTAGTTTTCACTAGGAATCAAGGATTCTAAGGGTTAAGAATTCTAATTAACATATGTGATTAGAGCTACTAAGAATAAGGGAAACATCCCCATATGCAAAGAAAGTGGGGTGTGTGTTTTTGGTTAGAAAAAGGTATGAGCTATGGAGATATATTTTTGTTGAAGAAAAAGGAAGTAATTTTGTCCTAAAGTAAAATGGTGGCCAGAATAAGAAAAGATAGGACAAAATTTTAATGTAAAAAGAAAATTATAGGTTTGTGAAACAGGAATCTTTGGAAAGAAATTTTATATGCTATCAAGCTGGATAAGATTAAATAAAATAACTATAAAGGTTTTAAAATAAGTTTTAAAATCAATAGTGTGCTATGTAAAACTATAACTCAATGTTCTTTCATCTGCTGAAAGAACAAAGTTTACTTGGGCTACTGGTCTGCTCCTGCTAAGAGATTGTGAAAGGTTTCTCCCTACCTTTTGGTTTTTATCAAAATTATCTCTTGTGCTTTATGATAAAAGCTGAGTCTTTTCTATTAAAAAGAGCTAAGGTTTTTGCAGCTATGTAACCTTCTATATTTGTCTTTGAAGTCTTCGGTCACTTTGGTTAAATGGATAATTAAATATTGTTTCATAATTTTCTGTGACCCTATTTTGTCAAATGTCCAAAAACTTTTGATATTTTTGACAAACTTCCTCCCTGAAAAAATCAAATTCTAAATAAAATCTTTCTAATCTGAAAGTAACTTTGGGAATTTCCAGAAGGCCCCTGAGACTTAAAGGATTTGTTCTCTCTTCTTATAAAAAAAGAGTTGTTAAACTAATTTGGCTTATTTGATACATCAAATTACATGGGAAGCATTGTCATGTAAATGATGATAAACTTTAGGTTATATTCTATAGGTGAAGGTTATTAAAATAAATGTTCCAGGGGCCGGCCCCGTGGCCGAGTGGTTAAGTTGGCGTGCTCAGCTTCAGCAGCCTGGGGTTTTGCCTGTTCGGATCCCGGGCGCGGACATGGCACCGCTTGTCAGGCCATGCTGAGGCGGCGTCCCACATGGCACAACCAGAAGAACCTACAGCTAGAATATACAACAATGTGCTGGGATATTTGAGGAGAATAAGAAGAAAATAAATAAATAAATGTTCTAGAGATTGTAGGAAAATTCCTAAAATTCTGTTATGTCCTGGTATAATGTTATCAGTCATACTTTTAAGATGTCACAGAAATGACCAGATTTACCTGTCAATTATGCTATAACGAACCTTCATCAGATCTTTAACCATTAATACTTTTAAGTCTTTTGTCATTTACTGACAGTTATTGCTTTACTCTGGTGCTTTTGCAAATATGTCTCCTCTTCAGAGAAATTCACGGAAAAGATCCTGACCAATACTCTAGAGTGCACGTGTTTGATAACTTGAAGACCATCACACTGCACTGGATTTAAAGGACACCTTTTCTCCTCTCCCTTGAGAAAATGTATCTTTGCAACAAGGGTTAAAACATTTATCCTTGTCTCCCTACCTGATCCCTCCAGAATTAAAAATGGGTGTAACTGTGGAAAGATAAATTATGTTTGTACCTTTGTAGATATTAAATTCTAGTCCCATTAATTGCCTTTAACATTTGCTATATAGCTATAAGCTGAACTGGATCCTAAATCCTTCTAGTTTCCTTAAATGTCTATGACTCTCCAAACTGACACAATTTTAGTGCCTTTAAAATCTCCTTGGAAGGGACTATACCAGGTCCTCCTCACTACCCAGATGGCAGCCTAGCTTCAGGGACTTGAATCTTGGGTACACATCTCACAGCTAAAGAAGGCTCCACCTGACACGCAGTCCTGCACAAACACTGGAGATCTCCAAATCAAACTGACTAGGAAGAGAAGCAGCCGACATCTGAGGCACAGCTTTCCCACGACGACCAGACCAGGCCTTATATGCTTTTCTCATTGTTGCTTCTTTTCTCTCTCTCTTTCATAGAAACACGATGCCCTTGTCCATATTGCCTAAACCCTAGCGAAAGAGAGAAACCTCTTCTTTTGATTATGGCCTTTTGGAAACACATGGCCCTGTGACAAATTAATCTTTTCCCTTGCTTTTTCTGAAGGGTTAGAAAGTTCAGAATTCACAGAAGCATTTCTTTCACCTGGACTATTAACTGACTGAGTTCTTATCCACATTCAGAAATGTGCAGCCTTACAGGCTGTATTACTGACAACACGTTCACTTCCAAACAGTTCTTCTGAGATAACAGTGCCGTTTTAATACGTATTTGAAGTTTTGCGATTTTCGTGAAGAGTTGGTCAGCTGTTGCTTCATGTTTATCCCGGCACTGTCTTCCCACTGCATTCGGTCAGTTCTTTCAGTCGGGGTGTGCTCTTGCCGTGTTCACTGTTCTATTTTCTCTTCATGACAAAATGGAAGCCTCCCATTGATCCACTTTACTAAACCTTCATGGCCGCCTTGAGCAGCAACTTCCAGGAGGTATACGTGACTGTCTTTGCCTCTGTAGGGAGAGCCTTTTCCCCCCTGGACTGGAGTAAATGCCAATGAGAACATGATTAGAAACCCCTCCCTAACATTAGGAGAGCTAGCCAATTCCACAGCAAAAACCTGTAACAGCCAACAAAAATCACTCAACTCAGGGCTGGCCCCGTGGCTGAGTGGTTAAGTTTGCAACGCCTGCTCTGCTTCGGTGGCCCAGGGTTTCACCGGTTCGAATCCTGGGCACGGACATGGCACCACTCATCGGGCCACACTGAGGTGGCATCCTACATGCCACAACTAAAATATGCAACTATGGAAGGTCAGGTGGGGGGGGATTTGGGGAGAAAAAGCAGAAGAAAAAAAAAAGATTGGCAACAGTTGTTAGCTCAGGTGCCAATCGTTAAAAAAAAAATCACTTAACTTGTTGGCTAAGGTAGTCTTAGCCTTTGATTACTTACTTGTTGAGCTGGAAGGCATTTCTGCAATAGCAGACACCACCCACGGCACTTGGACAAACTCCTCTGGGGAAAGAGAAACTCAACTGGATAGTATCAGGGAGCAAGCACACTGGCTGCAACAAGTTTTATCTTACTCTTGATGGTCCTTTCATTTGTTTGGTTGGCTACCTTCAGGCTTAGGATCCTAGTTTAGAACCATCACACAATTTGGAATTGTTATGTTACTTTTGATTCTGTTTTGTGTAATTATCTTTAAGTTTTGTACTGGTTGCCTGCCAAACCTTTTGTAAAAACAAAGTACCCAATAAGGTGATGCTGGTTCAGTGCTTTGAAATGATCTCCAACACTTACAGCCTTTCTAAGATACAGACTTTAGATGTGAAGTGCCTGAGAGTTCTCCCTCCCACCCCTCCTTGTTACTCAAAGTGACCTCAGCAGGTGTCCAGTCCGTGCATTTCCCCTCCAAGTGGAACACAGCACTGAATTCTTGATCAGTGATGTGTCTGAAGAAAGATCTTGATAAAAAGGGGAAGATATGAAACAGAATAAAGCCAACTTCATTTAAATTGGGTTCAGGGGTCCCAGCCTGCTGGTGTACTGGTTAAGTTCGCATGCATTGCTTCAGTGGCCCAGAGTTCGCAGGTTTGGATCCCGGTCATGGACCTACACATCGCTCATCAGTCATGCTGTGGCAGCATCCCACACACAAAATAGAGGAAGATTGGCACAGATGTTAGCTCAGGGACAATCTTCTTCAAGCCAAAGAGGAAAACTGGCAACACATGTTAGCTCTGGGCTAATCTTCCCCACCAAAAAATAAAAAATAAAATAAAATAAAATGGGGTCAGGAAGCCAAAAGACGGAGCTTTACACACTACTACTCAGTGTCAATTACAGACCTAACAGGAAGAATCATCAGTTGCCACCACAGCAGGAAGATTTCCTCCTTGACCAGCAACTCAGCTAATGAGAAAGTGTCACCACCCTGAACTCTTGCTCTCCTCCAATGGATTTTTGTTCAAAATGACCCCTTCCAACTTCCTCCTTTTTCCCTATAAAATAACGTTCCTCTCCTTTGTTTGGTGGACTTGCCTATGGCTTTTGCTATAGCTTGCTCGTCCCGAATTGCAATTCCTCTGCTATTCCCGAATAAACCCATTTTGCTGGTAAAATAACTGGCTGTTGGCTGTTATTTTATGGTTAACAAAGCAGTGGTGCCATTGGTTACTTCTGCTAGGGTCAGAGACAAGTTCTGAACCACGTTTTCTAGTTGTTTTATTTCTGCTGGGGGATCTGTAGCTCAGAGGATGGGTGAAGGGGAATTAGTCATCCCTGGTGGCAGTTTTCCTAATAGCTTATACTTGCATTATTTTTCACACTCCTGGCTATTCTTTTTAAGGAATGTGATTTCTTGAAGGGATGGGAATTTTACGTATATGGCATTGTCTACCAATTATTCTGAGTACATAGGATGTTAATGCGCAGTAGGCAGGTATGACCCTGATGCTGATGTAAGGAGCACCCTGTGGAACCTGGACTGCATTATAAGTAAAGTATCACTTATTCTGAGAGGAGCGAGTCAAGTTTGTGCCCCTTGACACATACAAATTCCTTGAGTGGAACTAAACACTTCCTGCAAAGCAAGCTGAGAACAAACTGACTCCGGGTGCTCGCCCCAGGACACCCCTGACCCACCAGGCCGTGTGACAGGACTGCAGGAAGCTCAGCAGACACGGTTTACAGAAGCAAGGTCAAGGTCCAATTTTTATGACTTAAATTTGGGATCAGTGATGTGAAGGAAACTTAAGTACCAAAACCTGCTTGTGGCAGGGCTGTCAGGGGAAGAGGCAGAAGAGAGTTTTGTTTTTCCTTAATTGCTGGGAAACCAGGGGGGCCAAAAATAACAGTAGGAAGATAATGGAGATTGTATTAATGTTTTTTTTGTCACCTATCAATGGCCAAACAACACCTGACTCCAGGCACAAGATAAGAATAGCAAAGCAGCTCTAAGAGGCACACACCCGAGACACAGGAAGTTCTTAGAAGGTTTTGAAGCGGCTACTGGGGCAAAGTCTGTCCAAAGGAAACGGATCTGAGAAGAAACCTGAATGCCGAGCTCGAGGATGGGCTGACGAACAACGCCGAAGCCATGAGAAAGCACACAAAGCATTAGACAAGCACATGTCAGAGGCCAGAACACGGTTTTACCAAAGCAAAACGCAAGTGTAGCCAGACAACCACAGTCCCGCCCAGGGCTCCTTCCGGGCCGCGCCCACGCAGCGCCCAGCGGGCAGCGACAGACACGCGAGCTCGGCCCAGCGGGCTCGGTCCGAGGCAGTGACCCGCAGCTCCTTCAACGCCCTCCAGCCGCAGACCGGACACTGCGGCCGCCGCACGGGTCCCAGGACTCGGGCTTGGGCGGGCGATCTCGGGGGGACTCGGCCCTGGGCCGGGCACCGGCGGGCAGGGGTGGCCCGGTCAGTCGGCGCGCAGACAAGACTCAGCAGCCACGTCGGGTCTTGCTGGGTGGTGGCTGAGGTCCGGCCGCCGCGGCAGGGCACTCGAGACCCGCGGACACGCCGGGCCGCCCGCGGGGGCCCAGCCCGGCCCGACCCTCACCCTCCAGCACGACCGCGACCGCGGGCTCTGGCTGCCGTCGAGGCCCTGCCGCGGGCTCAGCAGCACCGACACGAAGTCCCGAGGCGGCGCCGGCGGAGTCATGCAGGAGTCCGGCCTGGCGGCTGCGCCGAACCACGAAGCGCGGGGTCGGGGCCCCAACTGGCCGGCCGTCGCGCGCGTCAACAATCGGGCTCCGCCAGCGCAGCGCGCACGCGCAGGAACGGATCCCACGTGCGGCCTACTGCGCCTGCGCCCCTCCGCGCCTGCTTCCCGCGCTCGCAGGGCTTCGCGCCCGCGCCGGCCTCTTACCCCCCTCTCCCCCCCCGGCGGTGGCCATGGCAACAAGGCGGGCGCGGCCCCCTGCGGCGCGGGCTTTCCGGCAGTCCCTGTGAGCCGTGCGCCCCCGCTGAGGGATCCCCGCGCCGACTGGGCTCAGCGAGCCGGCAGAGCTCGGCGCGGGCGGCCTGTGGGACTCGCCCTGTCGCCCCTGCGGGGCCCGAGGCGGCGGCTCTCGGGGCCGCATCCCGCCCCCGTGTCTTCGCGGTGCACGAGGCGTCCCTGCGCTCTGCGGTGTTTGCGATCCGCAAGCGCGCGGAGCGCCCCCGGCCCTGCGCTCGAGGTCTGCCCGGCTCCGCCTGCCCGGAGCTTGCCCTGCCGGACCCCAAACTCGGCCCTCCCGGGGGCTCTCCAGGCCAGAATGCCCGCTGCCCTTTGGGGGACACGCTGCCTCCGGCTGTCCCGGCTGCAGCCTTTCTGGGTGTCCGGAGGGCTCCCCCGCGTGTGCGCCCCCTGCTCAGCCCCTCGCTTGTCCGAACCTGCTCCAGGAAGCTCGTCCGCTCTCCTGCCCCCTGCTCTCCTAGGGTCGTCTCTGAGGTCTCTGTTGGTAGGCCCAGCGATGCCCTCAGGCGTCCCTCCCTGCACAGCCTGTCACCAGGGAAATGGTGGCATCTGGAGGATGCGCGTGCAGGAGGGCGAGTCACCAGGCTCTCAAGCTGAGAGTGCCAGAGCCACCCCTGCGGAACCGGGTCAAGGGGCAGGTTGTGGGCCCGCCCCCAGGGTGCCTGACCCACCAGGTTGTCTCAGGCCCCTGAGACCCTGGTGAAGAGCTGGACGGGAGCACGAGGGGATCCCTGGGCAGCCCAGAGCCGGTTCGGCTCAGTGTGGGCTCTTGTTCCCAAAGGGCCCCCAGTGGGCTCCAGCCCCTGGATGGAGCAGAGCTGTGAACACCTGGTGCTCTTCCCATCACACACGTGCTGGTCAAACCTGCACTCGCCAGGCCGGGGGTCAGTCACCGCACCTCCTGTTTATCGGAAATCACCTGCGCACTGTGGAAAATCAAGAGTCGGACAGTCTTTCAAAACTCAGTTTCATTCGCAGGAGTCCGGGGTCAGAGATAGGGGTGACTTAAAGCAGCACGAGGGAGGTCTCTGTGGTGAGGGGACATCTGCCTCTCGAGTGCAGGGCGGCACAGGAGTCCACACCTGTGATGAGTGCTGCAGAGCAGCAGCAGCCTCCCCTGGCCCGCTGGTGTCCTGTGATCACCTGAGACGCCAACGCTGCAGGAAACTGCAAAGGGTCCCCGGGACCTGTCTGTGCTGTTTGAAACTTTATGTGAAGGTATAATTATTTGAAAATAAAACGTTTAAAGAGCGAGCTGTTACAACCATTTACCCAACTAACTCGACTTGTGTAGAAAAAAGGTGGTGCAGTCAGGGCAGTGAGGAGCCAAGGTGGGCAGAACCTGGACCCAACCTGGACCCAGGCCCCCAGCTTGGCTGACCCTCCTGTGCCCCTGGCCCTCTGCTTGCCTGTGGAGCAGCTGAGAGAAGAATCCTGAGGCATGTGGTTCGAATCTGAGGTTTGCAAAAGGCTGGCAGAGCCTGGGCGTGGCCCTGACCGGGCTGTCACGCCAGGGTCGGGATGCCTGGACGCAGCCTCTGTCTGCTCCAAACCGCTGGAGTCCATCTGCATCTGAACCCACCCCGAGCCAGCATCCTTGCCCTGGGGAAACCAGCGGTTTTCATGCGTGGGCTGCAGTGGGGGGCCAGGGAGGTTCGGGTGACCTGGTGGAGCATCAGGCTGCATTTAATGCTGCTCCTCACATCACAGGGAGAGGTGGGAGCCACTGTGTTGTTTTCCAGAGGGGAGAGCAGGCGCTGGGGCCCAGACCGCAAAGCTAGGGGAAGAGGCCAGAGCCAGCTGGTTTCCTCCAGCCTCGGCCAGGCTGCAGGGGAGTAGCGAGGGCCGTGGCCCCAAATATGGAGGCTGTGTCCCCCCCAGAGAGCAGGGGAGGAGCGTGAGCACCAAGATCTGTTAGAAGCTCCTGGGGGGCCGGGCGAGGGATGGCACTGCCCACCTAGGTGAATTCCAATTAGTCACCCACTGCAGGAGGCCACCCGTATTGGTCCTGCTGATTCTGGAGGAAGCACATAAAATTAAGCATCTTACGCCAGCCACTGACGTGACCGAGGCTGAGGCCTCGGAGAGGGATGGAGAGAACTGAGTCTCAGGTGTGCAAGCCGAGCTTCTCTGAGAGCCAGCTCTCCCGGCGCAGACAGCCCTTATGGAGGAGTCAGACTCCTTCTGCAGTGGCTTCAGCTGGGCAGGGAGGGGGCTGGGCTGTGAGCCCCCGGCCCATCCCGGTCACTGGTTCAGCCTCGAGGGAGGGAGGGGCAGCCCCTGTAAACACGTCACCCTGTGAGGGAAGGACACTGTCCCCTCCTCTCCTCCCCTGACCCGCACGTCTGCAGAGATGCTTCTCCGTGTGGCTGGCACTCCTTCTCACCACGCGGATCTGCGTGTGGGGCAGAGGAGCCGCCTTCCTGTCATGTCTCATCACATCTCAGCTCGGACAGCAGAGGCAGGGCCCGCTGCTCTCGCTGCTGGATGAGGATGATGCCACACCTCCCTCGGGCCCCACCCCACAGCCTTCTCTCAGCCCCACGGTCCAAGGTCTTGAGTCCCTCTGCCTCCTGCTCAGACTCCACAGCCGGGAGCTAAGCCAAGATCTTGAGTTGGCCTACGGCAGGCCTGGGTCACTTGTGTCCATGGAAATGGGTGACAGGAGAGGTCCCACCCTCCTGGAGAAAACCAGTGCACTTCCTTCTGTGTTCCACACGCCGGAAACGCACAGCAGCCTGCCTTCCTACCCAGAGCCCCAGGTTGGGTCACGTCTTCAGTGCTGGGGACCCCGGGTGGGCAGGTCTGGCAGTGAGTCAGGGCTGCAGCGCCCTGGCCCGGTTCTCGTCCAGGATGAGCGGGGACTGGAACGCCCGGCCTCGCAGGTACACCTCCAGACCCTGGAAACAGGCAAGCCAGGATGGCCAAGTGTCCACCTCTCAGCCCCCGGGCAGGGTCCCAATTCTCCCTGGAGCCTGGGAGGGGCAGGGCCAGAGAGGCTTCTAGAAACAAAGGTCAGATGCCTCCTCAAGACCAGAGGCCAGCATGAGCTGTCCCGACAAGCTCTGGCCAGAACTTACCAGAGAAGGAAAGGGGCCCACATTTCTCTCAGCAAGGCTCCCACAGAAGCACGACTCCCCGAACCCCGGACTCAGGCCTGGCCCGGCTCGTTCTCCGCACCCCTCCCTGGACCTGTGAGGGCCTCTCAACACCTCACCCCACCCCACAACCCAGAGGATCCTCTGCAACGTAAGAGATTATTTACCCCACTGGTAAACTGAGGCAGGGCTTGACTTTCCACTCACACACCCACCTCTCCCCAGTCTTCCTCCAGTCCTCAAGCCCCACCCTAGAAAGGCCATACGCAGGCTTGGGGCTCTCACCTCTCCAGAGTAGGACACCAAGGGCGAGATCTCACACACAGCCGCAGGCTCTCCACTGCCGCGCGGGCTGGGGGAGGCCACCTGTCAGCATCTGCTCAGGGGTGCACACCCGGGCCCTCTCCCAGCACCATCCTCCCCTGCCTGGCCCTCCCCGCCTAAAAGGGACCACCACACCCAGCCCCCGAAGCCCCATCTCGGCCATTCCTCTTCCTGTGGGCACCCAGAGCCTGGAGCAAACTGCCCCCACCCGAGTGACAGGCCCTGATCTGGGCTGGAACCCCCACCCTGGGATCCTGCACAGACCTGGGCAGCCAGGTTGAGGTGGCAGCATGAACAACCAGAGAGTTTGAAACCTAATGTCCTTTGCTTTTCTGGGCCTGAACAGTGACCTGCCTTGTTGTTTCCTCAATGTCATGCCTGGGTCCTACTTTTAAAGCTTATGAATGAGCCAGAAAGGGCTGCAACCCCCACCTCCCAGGGCCCTGAGCAGACCTCCAGAGGTTGGGCCAAATGGCTGCAGTGGAGGTCACCATATGGCTGGGCTGGGCACACAGGCACCTGTATTCAATGTGGGGCCAGAACAGAAGCCCTCTGCACCCACCCCCACTCAGACAGCTGCAGAGCCAGCAGCGCCCTGGGGCTGAGGGTGGGGCCCTGACACCCTGACACATTGCCCTTTGGGCAGTGCCCTGGGGCCCACACTCACCTGGGCAGTTCGGTGAGCTGGGCCCCGTGAGCATCCAGGAAGTGGGCCCCGGCCTGCAGGGCCCAGCGGTAGTGCTGAGCGAGTAGGGCCCGCCGGGTGGTGGAGGGGTTGTCCCTGTCGGCCGAGTCAGCATTCTTCAGAGGGGAGAACTCCTCCTCCCGCAGCACTTCAAAGGCCACGAAGTTCCTGGCGGAGAAAAGAGCTGGTGACCTGGTGTCCTGGCCCGGAGGCCCTGACGCTGGGCAGGTGAAGGCCAGGCCGGGATTACGGTGACTAAGTGGTGCAGGGTCTGAGAGCAGCAGCCTAGGCAGGACCCCACAGACACAATGAGCCTTTCTCCTGAGCCCTCCTTTCCATTCCCACCAGCCAAAACGCCAGACCCTGGGACCCCAGAGTGAGAGCATGACACTGTGGGAGCCTGGGCTGGAAACAGCCCCCTAACCCCAGGCGAGGGGCAGGTGGAGGGCTCAGGAGGGGGCACGGTGTCTCCCAAAGTCCACAGCCCCAAGGACTTCCACTGCCTTCCACATTCCCTGTGCTCCCATCCCCGGGGTCTGCTTCCTCTGGCCTTCTCCCTCTGAGACCTGCTCCCCACTGCAAAGGGGCACTCCCACCCCTCCCCAGCCCAGCCCCCAGCCTCCACTTCCCTTTCAGAACCCACCACCAAAACAGAAAGAGGGAAGAAAAAAATAATGACTTCTACCACTAACTTAGCAAACTGGAACACATCAAACACAAACTTCTCCATCTTTATCCCATTCGGTTTTAGCGGCTTTACCGGGTTTCCCTCCTCGTCCACGTATGGGACCTTCTTCACAGCCACGTGTGGCTTCAGCAAGGGCTCAAACTCCCTGAGAGAATGGGAAGACAGGAGGAAGAAAGACGAAGTTTAGACAGGACGCTGTGGGAGCCCCATCCGCACGTCTTGGCTTGGCCCACCAGGAGGGCAGGCCGGCAGGCGGTCGCCACAGGGCTAGGAGCAGTGGAGCTGAGCCCAGTCTCTGGGAGGGCACAGGCACCCCCTCGCACTCGGGAGGCTGAGAGCCATGCCTGAGAGCCAGGCACCTTCAGCCACATTCCTGCCCAGGCAAAATGGCAGTGGGCCACGCCACAGGAGGAACAGGCCACCCTGGCCACAGAGCCTCACACCAGCTCTTGAGGCTCTCTGGTGCCTCCAGTGTGTTCGAATGCAAGAACCTTTCTCCACCCCAACCCACAGGAGGCTCCTGACCACAGCCTGGCCAGGATCATGTCAGCCTCCAGTCACTGGCCTGGCTCGCCCCGACGGCACTGGTCAGCATTCGAGGTCACCAGCTGCACACACCTCGTGACCATCTGAAGGAAGCCTCGGGTGAAGAAGTGGTTGCAGATGTTGCCTGCATTATAGAGCAGGCCCCCATCCGGTGCGCGAAGCTGCGCAATCTCGGGGCTGATCTCGCTGTACTCGACCACCTGGGGGACACCGTCCACCAGGCACACCACGCCCACGGGCTCCTCAGGGTATGCCTTTTCCACCACCTGCAGCCCCACAGGAAGGGCCAGGAAGGCTAGGAGAGGGTGGGCAAGGCGGACCAGGGGCGGGGCTGGGAGGAGGGGGTGCGGCAAGGCAGGACAGGGGCGGGGCCGTGGGAGGGGCGGGACAAGGAGGGAGGCTGGGAGGAGGGGGCGGGGCAAGGCAGGGAGGGGCTGGGGAGGGGCAGGCAACGCAGACTGGGGCGGGGCTTGTGGCAGGGGCGGAGCAGGGCAAGAAGGGAAGGTGTGAGGAGGGGGCGGGGCAAGGAGGACTCACCTTTGCGCCGCAGTCCGCGCCCCGCAATACGCAGAAGCCGATGAAGACGGGGTCAGCGAGCCGCACCAGGATGTTGTCCACGCAGTACACATGCACAAACTCAACTCCTCGGCGCTCCATGTCCTCCAGGATCCGGTGGTCCGCCAGCGCGCGGTAGAGTCCCCCGTTGCCGTCTGCAGAGGGAGAAAGGCTCTTGAGAGGGCTCCAGCCCGGCCTCAGCTGGCTAGTCCAGGGCATGGTGGAGGCAGGGGGGGCCCTCGGGACTGGACCTTGTGCCTGAGGCAGCTCTCTGTCACTTTCCAAGTAGCCCTGTGGTTGTTCCACGTGACAGATGGGAATCAAGGCTCAGAGGGGGGAGGCCACCGCCCAGACCCACACAGCCTGTGGGCAGCACATTCTGGCCTCTGTCCCAGTCCTCCTGACCCCTGGCTAGCTGCACATTCTAAGCCAGGCTGTCCCTCCTTGTTTCAGAGTGGGGTGTACCTGGGGCCATGGCAACCTTGTCTTTCCGCTCCAGGATGGCCCTGCCATCGAAGGTCACAGCAGGCAGCATGCGCTGCTCAAACATGATCACATTGTTGGGGTCCAGATGGAAGAAGTCATTCTCCTTGAAGAACTCCGCGGTGGGCCCCAGTGTGAACTCACTCGTCATGATGTACCTGCAAGGGGAGGCAAGGCTGAGGCGGCCTTTTGGAGGGCCTGGCAACTCTGGCACACAGGCCTCTGAGAGGGGCTGCCATCAGGGTCCAGTCTGGGACCAGGGTCAGGCCTCAGCCTGGGTGGGTGCTGGGCTTTGTTCAGGGCTGTGCTGGGGTTGGGGTTCAAGTCTTGGGTGGCACAGGGCTGGGGCTACATGGGGGGACCACTTGGGGGCCAACGTAATGCAGAGAGGGCACACCAGGGCACAGTGCAGCGGGTCCCGTGGCGCTCGCCAGCCAGTTGCTCCACCCGCCGAATCCGCTCTGCCTGCAGCTGATACAGGGTCTTCTGGCTGGGCAGCCCCACCTGATACATGCCCTTGGGGTAGGTCACACCCAGGCGAGTGCCCTGCCCACCAGCCAGCAGCAGCACAGCCACCTTGTTCAGGGCGATCTGGTGGAAACCTGGGGGTACGGGGTGCCATGAGGGGGTGCCTGGGACCCGTCACACCACCTCCCCTTCACTTTAGAGCAAGCTAAACTTGCGCCTGGGACTATGACACTTCTGACAGCTGCAGGACAGACATTTCCAGATAACACTCTGATCTGATCTGGGCCAGGGCCCCACCCAAACCTAACCTTCTCCCGACCCTTCAGGGGTTCTGATGACATCCTCCTGGATTAATTTCCAACCTGGGTCCTTCAGAGGAAACACCAGGTCGGCCTGGTCAGAGGTGTGCAGCTGGGACCCTGGGCAGGCTCTCCTCCAGGAGCACCTCCCTCACCTCCAGGCCAAGAGGCCAGGAGTGCACTCGCGCCGGCGCTGTTGTGAAAAGTGTGTGAAAAGCAAGTGTGCAAGGGGTCCCCTGCTGTCAATACGCTTGTGGGCTGGGCAGCTGGCCATCCAGGTGTGCGCAAGCACAAAGTACCCTACCAAGCGAATGCGGCCGGGGGGCGGCTGCCAGCTTGGAAGCGTTTAGGGGCTCCACACCCCAGTCGCGGGCTGGTACGTGTGAGAGGGGAGGACACTTCACAAAAAAAATAAGGCAAACTGAACTTTTCCAAGCACGACCTCTCCTCTGAACTCTCTCTATGGTCAAGGCCCCCTTCCGGCCGGCCAGAGGCGCCCCGCGGCCGGAACCCCTGCCCCACCTACCTTCCTCCTCCCAGAGCCGCCGCGTCTCGGGGTCGCTCCGGCTCGCGCTGCCCACGCGCTCGGGGGGCAGGGGCCGCAGGCGCGTGGCCAGGCCGGGCGGCGGGCCCGGGGGGCGTGCGCAGGCCGCGGCCGCGCTCCGGCAGTGCTCGCGCAGCGCTTCGGGCTCCAGCGGCTCCAGCTCGGCCAGCAGCGCGGCGCGCGGCCCCGGCGCCAGCTCGGCGCAGAAGCGCAGGAGGTGCTCCTGGCCGGCGCGCTGCAGCCGGGCGCGCACGTCCCGCTCCGAGGCCATGTCGCCGCCGCCGGCCGCGTTGGCAACTCGTGACCCGCGCGCTCCGACTAGCGTCACGGGACACGGAGGGCGGTGCCGGCCCCAGCGGGGCGGACCCAGGCCCCCCGCTTCGACCCCGCCCCCGCCCCCGCCCGGACCCTTGCCGGCCGGGCCTCGGTCCCCTCTGGCCGCGCCCCCGCCCCGGCCCCGCCTGGGCCCCGCCCGCGCCTGCTCGGAGGCAGCTGGCGAACTGCTGGGGTCTGGCCCACCGCCGCGGGCGGAGGAGCGGGACCCGGCGCTAGGGACACCGAAGCGTAGGGGCCCGGCGTGCACCGAGTCGGGGAGCACCCCCCACAGGTTCTGCTGCGCCCATGGCTCCGGGCGCGTGAGGGCTGACTTCACTCCTAATCCACCCGCCTCTCTGCCCACAGCCCTGGGGGCGGGGCACCGCAGGAGGAGGCTGGGGTCTGTCTCTGCCCGCGGCCATGTTTGTTTGCATTTACCAGACGCCTGGCGGCAGGGACAACAGTCCAGGGGCTCAGTGAAGAGGCCACAGTCAGAGCTTGGCTGCGGACGATGGACCAGGTCATCAGCTGGGCCGGTGTCTGGATGTCACCAAGGCCCCCCAGAAGGCCACCCTGCCTCCTTGGGGGCTCCCTCCTTCGTATCCCTCCTCCTTCCCATTTCTGATGACCAGAACCGCTCAGCAGAGGCCTGTCACCCTGGCTTGTTATTTCAACCATCAGGCTTTAAAATATCCTGCTGTTTACAAACTCCTGTGTGAAAAAGATAAAACTGTAGCTTCCGCCATTTTGGGACAAAAGTTTTAGAAACGAGTTTTATTAAGTCTAAAAGTAATATATGCACAGAGTTAAAGCAAATTTAGATGGTGCTTTAGGACCTAAAGTGGAAAGTCACATCTCCCCCAGGCCCACCCCAGCTAACCCCTGTTAGGGCAACTGTGTCTCCCTGCAGGCAGGTTCTGCACATAGAACCACCCCCCCAACACACACACCATTCCTGGGTTCAGAGGCTGAGCTTCACAGCCCCCTGGGGGCCCACTGTGTGTTCTCATGGGCCTGAAGGGAGTTATCTTTCCAAGGATGATCTAGGCCTGCCTCAGGCCCTTTACACTTGCTGTCCTACTGCCTGGACCACTCCTCCCCAGAATGTCACATGACTTCCTGACCCACCTTGCCAGGTCTCTGCCAACGTGGCACCTCCTTGGAGAGACGCTTCCAGGTGAGGTTAGCTCAGAGAGCACCCTCCCATCCTTCTCTCTTCCCTCCCATCTTTCTGCATCTTCCACTCCCTGACTCCCCCATGAGCAGTAAACTCCATGAGAGCTGGAGGTTGTTTGGGTCACTGCTCTGCCCCATCTCCTTAGATCAATGCCCAGCCCACGGTAGGCACTCAGTACATGTTTGATGACTGAATGAGGGGGTGTTGGATCCCAAGCCTAGCGCAGTGACTGGGCCACAGCAGGTGTTCAGGCAGTGCTTGTTGAATGAATGAATAAGTGGCCTGCGCCAATAGTCTGTGGCGGTTGAAAGGCAGTTTGAGGCAGATGCTGGAGGTGGAAGGTGTGCGTGGGAGCAGAGTGGGCTCCACACCCCAGGCCAGGGTCCATGGGAACTCTTATCACCCCTGTACCTGTGCCCTTGAAGGCAGGTGTTAGAACATGAACTCGGGGCCATGTTGGTCAGGGTGACCCCCAAATCCCACCTCAAAGTGGGAGTGGGGCTGACATCAGAAGAGTTTGGACAATCGGGACTGTGCAGCCAGAGGCACATGCACGGCCAGGAGAAGGGAGCTGACCCACTGGGCAGACAGGGGTGCAGACAGGTGGGGGTGCCAATGAGGCAGAGGTGGGCAATGACCTCCTGGACACCTTCAAGGAGCTCCAGGCTCGCACAGTGAGAACATAATTGTGACTGGGATGGGCAACTCAAAAAGTACAGGGGCCACAGGGACCCGCCTGGTCTGGGGCACTGGGAAGCCCCCCCAGGGTGACAGCAAAGCTGAAAGCTACAGAGGTAGGAAAGTGTTGGGGGCCAGACTGGAAAGTGGAAGGAGGAAATGACCAGAGTTCAAGATAAGAAGCACATGGGCCACACCTTAGTCCCACACCCAGAGCTGCCACTGACTCCGGTTTCTTCTGTACCTTCCTCCTGTGCTAGCCAGGGGCCACAGGGAAGCCCACAGACCAAGGACCAGCAGAGGCCACCACCCCCTCGGCTCCAGACACTCTGAGAAGCCCTTGTTTTCCCTACACGATGGGCTCAGGCTCACAGGGACCCTGATCTGGCCTGGGCACCGCTGGCCATGCTGTCCTGAGCTGTAGCAGTGTTGTTTGCTGTTGGCCGCTGGCCTCCACACCCATGCTAACCCCCACAGAGCTGTCCCCAGGCCTCCCCATCCCCCAGGCCCCACCCTGGCAAGTGTCCCAGCCAAGGATGGCGTTTTCGCTGTGACCCCCAGGATGAGCACCCACCCTGAGCCAGGCCTTAAGGTGGCCCTGACCTGCTGGAAGAAAGCAGCCCCATGCTTTGAATGTCAGGGCACCCAGCCAGAATTTGGGGGCGGGGGGTTCAGGTACTTGAGCAGAGTTCTGGAGGATGCACAGGGATCAGCCAGGAGCAGACAGGGAGGGGCATTCCTGGTGGGAAAGCCGCCATGTGCAATGGCTCAGAGGTGAGGAAATGCCGGGTTCCCTAAGGATGGGGGACTAGGGGTGCTGGGAGGACAGTAGGAGGGTGGAGGTGAACTGCAGGACAAATGGCTTGAATGCTGTCCTAGAATTTTGACCAATCCTGCCACTAAAGGGGAAGGCAGGATGCACCAGGCTCTACGGGGTGACTCCGGGCTCACAGCTTTCTAGGTACCCCCAAAATCCCTTACCACAAAGGAGCCCCAACCTTGAGGAGTAACCCCAGGGGAGAAGTGGACCCTGGATACTCCCTGGCCAGGGCTCTTACAGCCTGAGATACAGGCACCAGTGCCTTGGGCTGAGGCGAGCCCTGTGCCTGTCTGGAGGGGGTGTTTGGCAATTCTTTGCTGATTTATCCCTGAAGATGGATGGTCTGCTTACAGAGCCGCAGATAACACATGGGCATTGCTCAGGGGCAAGGTGCCCATGGCATGGGGACGTCTGGCAAGACCATTGGAGGAGGTATGGGGACCAGGGCAGGGCCTGGAGGACAGGCAATGGTAAGGCAGAGGCTCCAGGCAGACTGCATCTTGGGCACCTCCTTAGCTTCTCCCACTAGTCAGTCCTGAGATGGGCTCCCACAACAGGACCACAGGCTAAGCCCTGGCTCTGTCCCAGAATGATGAGATGGAATGAGTGGATCCTGCTGGAAATAAGGCAGGGGCCTCCGGGGACACAGGGCTGCCTGGCAGGCCTGAGGAGACCTGAGAGACAGGAGAGCAGCTGGAAGAGGTATCCAGCCAGAAGAAGCAGTTGGAGCAGAGGACCTTGGGAGCAGAAGGGAACTGGTCACCAGATGGGGATCTGGGGACACAGGAAAAAGTGGCTTTGTCCTGCAGCCGTCAGGAAAGGCCAGGCTGTCCCAAGGGGCCAGTGGAGGAGCTAGAAGCGGTGGGGACAGAGAGGCCTCTGTGAGCGGAAGCGCCCAGCTGGCTGGAACCCACAATCCTCTTGGGGCCCGCCTGGCGCAAGAGAAAGGGGCCCCAGAGTCGGCGGTGCCTGTGCCAGGGGACCCTCAGCGAAGAGTGCCGGGGGAGCTAGAGGGAGAAGGTGGACCCTCGGAGCGGGTACGCTCCGCATCCTTGTCCTACGAGGCCACCTGGGGACAGGTTTTCATCAGGGGGCCAGGCTTCGCCCCTCGGAGGGGTGGGCAGGGCAGTCAACCCCAGAAAGGGCTGATCTGCGGCGAGAGGCCTGGTGTGGTCGGGGTGGGGAGCAGAAGGGGGTCCGTGAGGCCGGGAGCGAGGCAGAGGTGGGGGATCCCGCCCCCCGCCAGCGCTGGGACCGCGGTCCCTCTCAGCACCGCGGCGGGAGCGCGCCGGGCGCTGGCCCCTCGGCCGGAAAATCAAACCTGGCTGGCGACCTCTCAGCCAATCGGGGAGGAGATGGGCCAGCCTCAGCCAATGGCCGCCGCGAATGCTAATGAGGGGTTGACGCCACGAGGAGGCCCATTCAAAAAGTAGCAGCTATTGTAGCGGCCGGTTGCGCGCGCCGGCCGGGCCCCGCCGTCCAGCCGCCCGGGGACCCAGCCCCGGGCGCGCCCAGGACGGAGCCCGACCAGCGGGCGCCCATGGCCGGAGCCGCGATGGCCGAGCCGGGCCGCGGGCCGCCCGCCGCACCCGCGCCGGGCACCGAGGGGCTGCCGCGCGCCTTCCTGCAGAGCCTGCGCACCCTCTTCGACATCCTGGACGACCGGCAGCGGGGCTACGTGCACCTGCGCGAAATCGAGTCCCGCTGGCAGGGCGCCGACGCGCGCGAGCTGCCCCGCGGCGTGCTCGAGGGCCTGCGCCAGGTGGCCCCGGCCAGCGGCTACCTCACCTTCGAGCGCTTCGTGGCCGGCCTGCGCACCTCGCTGCTGAGCGCCGACGGCGGCCCGCGGGGCCAGGCGCGCGCCCCGGCCCGGGGAGGCTGCCCGGCGCGGCCCGGGGGCCAGCTGCCGCCGCAGCGCCTGGTGTTTGCACCGGCCGACGAGCCGCGGACGGTCCTGGAGAGGAAGCCTCTGCCGCTGGGCGCGCGCCCCTCGCCGGCCGGCCCCAGCGGCGCGACCCGGATCCTAGAGAAGCTGTGCTGCCAGGCCGAGGCGGCGCCCGGCCCCGCGGAGCCCGAGCGGCCCCAGGGGGCGGCGCTGGAGCGGAGCCCAAGCGCGGACGCTGGTGAGTGTCGGGCAGCCCCTGGCCTCTCCCAAGGCCAGAGCCTGAGAGGGATTGCCTGCGCATCTCCCACCAGGGCCGGCGGACGGGGCGGGCAGCTCTTCCTGAGCCTGGAACGCGCCTTGCGACCTGGAGAGAAAGAGGCCTCGTGCCTGTCCTGGAGTGCTCAGGGACCAGGAGGCAAGCCAGCCCCTCCTCCGACACAGCGTGAGGCTACCAGGGCCAAGGGGCTGGGGTGACTCGGGAAGCCACACCAGGAACCCGCCCTGTGTCAGTCCTGAGTTGGACACTGGGGACCTCTACGTGGCGTGAGGAGGCTCTCCACCTCCAATACCTGCCTCACACCTGGGACCACCTGGGCCCTCTGGCTCATCTCTGGTTACTGCTTAGACACAGTTGGCTTCCACTAGTGCAGATGAGAGAGGGCCCCCCAGACTGGCAGGGGCCCTTGCTGCTTTCTTGGGTCCTTCTCCGTCTGACAGCTTGGCCAAGAGGGTGGACCCACTGTCCCCCACCGAGGCCGGGGTAGGCAGGAGCTGTTGGGGGTGGTCCAGGAGGACGTGGCCCAGGTGCCAGGAAGAGCAGAGCGGTGGGTGGGTCTCCAGCCCAGTCTTCGAGGCCTGTGGGGCTGTGCCGCCACTGACACCTGGGAGGGACACAGACCACAGCCCCTGGGGATGGCCGGCAGGCTCCTCTTCTGGCTTCCGGTCCAATTGGCAGAGACAGGAGATGGCTGAATGGTCCCCTGTTTGTCCCCCCAGTGCCTGCCCTGGGAACAGGACCTGCATTATGGCTGGGGGCGGAGCCAGGCCGCTCAGCTCATTCAGCCTACACACATGCCTGCCAGGTGCAGGCCTTCCACCCACGGCAGCTGCCAGCCCTTTTTGTGCTGCCCACCACTCTGCCAGCCTAGCTGGACCTCCCCACCCCCACCCCATCCAGCCTCAGGCATGTTCCCCAGCCCCATGAGGGCCACTTGGAGTCTTAGTGGCCCCTGGCTTCCCTGGTGAGCTGATCCAGGCTCTCCCTGCTCCTCACTGCCCAGCCTCCCTGTCCCCATGGTGTGTGTGAGGGGAGCTTCTGGATGTCGCTGGCCTAGAGCACTGGGCCACTGCCATCCATGTGACTGCACACAGTTGGAAATCAGCCATGGGATCGGGGTTTGGAGGCCTCAGGCCTGTGGTCCAGGCCTGCTCTGCCACTGGGTCAGTTAGTGCACCCCTCTGAGGGCCAGGCATGTGGCCATGCCCACCCGGGGGAAGCATCAGCACGGATTCCTCTGTAAGCCTCAGGCCGTGGCTCTCACTGTCACCTTTTACAGGCAGAGGCCCAGAAAAGGGGTGTGGCATGCTCTTGAGGTACCAAATCTAGAGCTCCAAGACCTCCCATCTCCCCAGGAAGAGAAAGCCACGCATACACAGAGGCCCCCACAGATCCAGGCCCTCCTTCCTTGTCCCCTTTTGGGGCTCAGTATGCACCCCAGGCTGGCCAGGCGCCGTAGGTAGACTGCTAGCTCAGTCGTCCAGCTGGATGTCAGGTGCCGTCACTGGGAACCCAGGAGCTGCCCTGCAGACTTGATAGTAAAGACCAGGCCCAGGTCTTCCGGGGGCCCCCCTCTGTCTGTACCTTCTCTGCCGGCTGCACAGCAGGTTGGAACATGAACTCTGGGCCTGCTTGGAGCCTGTCTGCTAGGTCTGGCTGGCAGCCCACATAGCCACCTGGTGCCAACTCTCTGGGCATGTCCCTGCCAGGCACACCTGCACCCCCTTCTTGCATCACCTGCCCACTCCCATTGCCAGGTGCTGGGGGCATGGCCTGCGAGGGTGAGCCTGGTGCCGGGGACAGGGCTAGAGAGCCAGGGGTGCCCTCCCCCACACCTGCACCCACTCCTCCCCTCCTGGGCAGCCCTGTGCATACTCCCATGTCCCCCGAGGAAGCCACTGGCCCTCCTGGAGGCTCCCACAGGGAAGTGCCTGGCTTTCCAGCCCCAAGCAAACTGCAGGTGGACACATGTGCTGTGGGAACTCCTAAGTCACCTGCTGAGTGCACTGTGTTTGCACTTCTGTGGGGACTAACTTTATACCATGATCACCTTCCTGGGGAAAGTTAGGTCTCACCAGCCATGCCCCACATTTCACCTCCTTGAACCCCAGTTACCCTTAAGGGCCCGTGCAGATAAGGAGAGGAGTCGGGAGGACCAGCAGCCCCGCTCGCTAGCTTCGTATTCAGCAGCCTTTGAGCCCCCAAGGTGTGCCCGAAGTATTCTAGGCACTGGGGGCGCCCCGACAAGCCGGATGAAGCCCCTGCCCTCAGGGAGCTCACACCGGAGTGTGTGTGCATGTGTGGGGTGTCAGCAGCCACATGGCCCTCCCCAAGGCAGGTGCGAGGGGAGCTGGTGGGGGACCAGACCCCAGCTAGGCACAGAGGTGAGGTATGGGCCAGGCTAGGCCGGTGCCCGCACCCCCAGGGCTGGACTGAAATGGGGTGGCAGAGGCCCTGAGTTGCTGATGACCCCATAGGCATGCATTGCTGGGGTTGGTTGTATGGGGGCATCTGAGACGGACCTGGAAGCCAGGCCTTGTCGGGGGGTTGAGCTTGACCAGGCAGTCCCTCGCCTCTTCTGCTGCAGGTGCAATGGCCTGCAGGGCCCGGGAGCTAGGTGTGGGGGACTCCCAGCGGGCCCCCCGTGCTCGAGGGGAGCGTCGGAGGCACACCATCACCAACGGTGTGGACTGTGATCTGGTGAGTGGGGCCCTGGGGCTCTGAGGGACTCTCTGTCTTGCCTGGAATTGGACTCAGCCCCCACAGTTGGTCTCCTGGACCACCCCTCTGCCTGGGAGAGGGCAGCCAGGCTTGGGTTCTGGGGGGCCTATGGTAGGAACACCAGTCAGTTCTAAATGTGCCTCCTCACCCGGCTTGAATCCACCTGAGGGACGGCCCGGGGTCAGGTCAAGAAGTCTTCTAGGGGGAAGGTGGCCTGGGTGTGCCGTGGCAGTGGGCTCGGCCCGTCCTCAGCAGTGCCCTCCGCACCTGCTTCCTGAGGCTCACCTCTGCCAGCTAAGCCCCGTTCACCAGCCGCGTGCTCACCGCTCACCAGAATGAGTGGGGCTCTGAGCTGGGGACAGCCACCTGTTCCCCTGGGGAAGCCTGTGTGGAGGGGCTAAGGGAGCCCAGGACCCTCCTGGGAGGAGGGATGGGGCTGTGCCCCCCAACGCAGAGGCATGCAGGGGCTCACTTGCGCAGGTGTGTGCACGTGTGTGCCTGTGTGGGCTGGTCTGAGTGCACGGCTGTGGCTCCCGGCACACATACGTGGGCGCACAGGCGTGTGCTGCACGTGTGCTCGTTGGCATGTGTGTGTCCTGTGTGTGGCAGCTGAAGCAGATGAAGGAGCTGGAGCGGGAGAAGGAGGTGCTGCTGCAGGGTCTGGAGATGATGGCGCACGGCCGGGACTGGTACCAGCAGCAGCTGCAGCACGTGCAGGAGCGCCAGCGCCGCCTGGGCCAGAGCAGGGCCAGCACTGTGAGTGACACTGCCTGGGGTCAGGCTGTCCCCAGACAAAGGGACCCTTACCCCCGCCATGCACACACACAGTGACCACCCACCTAACCCCAACCACCCCGGGCGGGTGTAGGCCTGACCCATTCACCCAGGGTGCCAGGCCATCCCCTGCTGTGATGTCCCCCCAGGACCTGAGGTGCCCTAGGGCGGATGTCCCCCACCGGCAACACCCCTGGGCTCCCCCTTGGCTCTGAGCAGTAACTTCAGGGGGTCATCCGTGGGGAGTGCCATCTGGGGGACCCATCCAGGCACAGTGGCTGACCTGGGCTGGCCCTGCTCTCTGATCACCCCTCCCCTGCTTTCCTCCCAGGACTTTGGGGCTGAGGGGAGCCCCCGCCCGCTGGGGCAGCTGCTGCCCAAGGTACAGGAGGTGGCCCGGTGCCTGGGGGAGCTGCTGGCTGTGGCCTGTGCCAGCAGGGTGAGTGTCCCATGGACCACCCAGGGCCCAGGCCCAGCTTGGGGCCACCCCTCACCCTTGTCCTAGAGGCTGTGCTGGGGAATGCCGGGCCTGCCTGACCGTGCCCCCCCGTAGGCTCTGTCCTCGTCCTCGGGGCCCCCGTGCCCTGCCCCGGCCCCCGCCTCACCCTCGGCTCCCGGCGTGCCCTCCCGTAGGCTCTGTCCTCGTCCTCGGGGCCCCCGTGCCCTGCCCCGGCCCCCGCCTCACCCTCGGCTCCCAGCTGGCAGCAGCAGACCATCCTCATGCTGAAGGAGCAGAACCGGCTCCTCACCCAGGTGAGCTGTGGGGAGAGGTGTGGGGCGGGGGGCTGCAGGCCCCACAGGCCCTGACCATCCTCCCGCCTGCCCAGGAGGTGACCGACAAGAGCGAACGAATCACGCAGCTGGAGCAGGAGAAATCTGCCCTCATCAAGCAGCTATTTGAGGCACGTGCCCTCAGCCAGCAGGACACTGGGCCTCTGGACTCCACCTTCATCTAGCTGCCACAGGCACGGACACAGACACTGGGCCCCTCAGCCCGGCCTGGCACTCAGCCCCGGGTGGGTACCCCCTTGACTCCACCTCTCAGGCTGAAGACCACCCGGCCGGCCTGGACACAGCCCTCCCTCCTCTCTTCCCATCTGGGGTGCCCCAGACGCCCCCAACCCCAAGTGGAGCCAGCAGGTGGGCTGCTCCCTAGATGTGCTGCAGCCCGGCACGCTGACTTGGTCCTGGCCTCCCAGGCTGGACTGGGGCGGGGCTTCATCCTGCCGACACAATCTGAAGCTGCTACTGCCACTGTCGGTCGACAGTGGGGGCCCCTCCTCGTGTTTACCGGATCTCGGGTAGCCCTGGCAGGCTGGGCTTGTCGGGAGCCCGCCCACGTTTACAGTTGGCCTGCCTCTTGGACCTGGGGTCTCCAGGAAAAGGTACTGGTCACACTAGGCTGCACTCCTGAAAGCGGCCAGCAGAGGGTGCTGCGTGCACTGTCATAGGCCCTGCCTGGAGCCCCCACCGCAGGTCTCAGATGGGGGCCGGCAGGAGGGGACTCTGGGATGGGCTGGGACACCCGAGGGCCCAAGGGCATCTTCCCTCAACCCAGGGCACCCACATTAGGGGGCCGCCCCTCAGCGGGGGAAGATGGTAGGGGTGGGAAATGGCCTCTAAGAGGAGGGTCTGCCTGCGTGGAGTTCTGGGGGAGCTCCCCAGGATGGTGGTCAGGGTTCATGCCTGGGCCAAGGCTGCTTACCCCCTCCCCACAGACCTCAGACCCTAAACCAACTTGGGTTAGCTGTCATCCCTCCTGGCCAAGACTCCACAGAGCAACATGTGACCCAGGCTCAGGGCCTGTGCCCGCAAGGCCACGTGAGCAGGCTATGGTCACGGGGTGGCTCCTGGGACCATAGCCACCTCCTATAGGCCAAGCACCCCCACCACAGCCCACCCAACTGATTGCCCAGGTACGGGGGCCTCTCACACCTCCACCCCCCAACCCCTAGTTTGGCCCCAGGTCTGGGCTGGGAGAGAACACTTCCGCTCAGCCATGGAAAAGGGGAACCACAGAGCTCAGGAAAAGGCTGGGAGACACCTGCTCAGCTGGGCCTGCTAACGGCACCTCCACCCCAGGAGAGGCCCAGTGCTCTGTGCTGCCATCCCCACGGGGACCCCCAAGGCAAGGGCACAGTGACATCAAGGACAGGTTATGAGGGAGAGGGCCGCAGATGCGGGGGGTGGGCATGCATGGGGCACAGGAGCACACCTGGAGAGGTTGGGCGCAGCCCTGGAAGACACCCCGGCCACAGGGAAGGGATCCTGGCTGCAGGCCAGGTGCTCCCTTCCAGCCCCAGCTCTGTGCTAACCTGCCAGCAGCAACCTGGACCAGCCACTGACCCTACTGCGCTCAGGGCCTGGGGGGCGAGCATCCCAAGTCAGGCCCAAATCAGCCCAGTGTGCACACGGCCCTCCTCGGAGGATGGGTGTGGGTTCTCCTAGGGGCCTGAGACCCTATACCACCCCCCAGCCTAGACCTCCTGGGCAGGCTCCCTGGGAGGGGAAACAGGAAGAGGAGCAGGCCCTAAAGGGCAAGATAGCCTCCAGCACCCAGCAGACCTGTGGTGCAGTGGTTAGACCACTGCCAGCCAGGAGAGATCCTCCCAATCGTCAGGGTGGGGCCTACCTACCAGGACCTCCCCAAATCTGCCACTCCCCTTCCATCCCACAACCAGTCCCCCCACACCAGCCCAGGCCCCAAGCCCACCCTCACTAGGAGTCCCTCTGCTCACAGGTTCTCCAAACACAGCCCCCGACATTTCCAGAACTGAAAACTGCACCTTCCTCTGCCCCTGACTCTTCCATGACCCCATCACTCAGAGCAAATCCAGGCCCCAAACAGTGTGGCCTCCACAGGCCCCACCTGAGTCCCTCCAGTAGCCCGGGCTGCAGCTGAGCAGAGCCTTTCCCATCTCTGGGCTTTGTCCATGCTGTTCCTGCCATTCCTGCCTCATGGAGCTTGATCCTACCAGCCCTTGTCCCAGCCCTCCAGGCAGACAAGCAGTGAAGGAATCTGCAGAGGCCACAACAGGGAAGGTGGTGCCTTGGGGCAAGCAGGGGGTGGCCAGCGTTCCCCTGAGGGTGTCTGCCAGGCCTGGGGCATCCTGCTTTCCCTCTGATGTCTTCACAGAACTTGGGAGGCAGGAGATGGAACATAGTGTCTGCCCAGGCTGACTTTCATCAGAAAACCTCACAACCTTCAGCTGCAGGGTGGATGTGAAAGGAGCTGGCTAAGCAGAAGGCGACTGAGGAGAGGGCCCTCTCAGCCCTGGTGTTCCGTGCAGGGTGGAAAAACATGTCCTCTTCGTTTGCAGCCTGAAACCAGGCTACCCGTCTCACCCTAGAGACCTCAGGGGAGAATTTTAAGTGGCCCCAGGTTGGCAGGGCCTGCGTGAGTGGCAGAAGCAAACACTCATCCTCTTGAACAGGCTCTCAGCCTCACAAGAGGGATGTCTGGGGCAGAGGAAGTCTCTGTGGGACTCAGAGTAAGCCCCGTGCACTGTAGGACGTTTGGCAGCATCCCTGGCCTCTATCCAGCAGATGCCAACAGCACACACACACACTCTCAGTTGTGACAACCAAAATGTCTCCAGGCATTGCCCAATGTCCTGGGAGGGGGGGTCGCCCAGGTTGCGAATCTAGAAGGATGCAGCTTCACGAAGCCTCAAGGATTCGATGTCAATCAAGTTCTGAAGAAAATGAGTACCTCCAGGTTAAAAATTGTGGACACATACCACAAGGAAATAATCCACCATGAGGGCCAGCAGAAACAAGAGATGGGTTCTGTAGACGTTCCAGATACTGGAATTATCAGATAGAGAATATAACTATGTTTTATCTAAAGGAATAAAAGATCCTTGAAAATATGAACAAGGAATAGTCTTTATAGTTTTTTTTTTTATTTTTATTTTTTTTGCAGAAGATTAGCCCTGAGCTAACATCTGCTGCCAATCCTCCTGTTTTTGCTGAGGAAGACTGGCCCTCAGCTCACATCCATGCCCTTCTTCCTCTATTTTATATGTGGGACGCCTGCCACAGCATGGCTTGACAAGCAGTGCCTAGGTCCGCACCCGGGATCCGAACCAGTGAACCCTGGGCCACTGAAGTGGAGCACGCAAACTTAACTGCTGTGCCACCAGGCCAGCCCCTATAGTTTCTTATTCTATAACAAACTATAATCTTTTATTCTGTGAAAGTGACCAATAAAGGATGAAAAAGAATCAAATACAACTTCTAAAAATTAAAAAAAATGTAATTAAAAACCCAAATGGACTAAACTTCAGGTGAAAATTTTCAGCACAGCTGAAAAGAGATTTAGTGAATTGAAAGACAGAGCTTAGGAAATTACCCAGAATACAGCCCAGAGAGACTGAGAGATGGGGACCATGCACGAGAGGTGAAGAGTCTTGAAGGATAGATAGATAGGGCTGTTTAGCATCTGGCTGGATTTCCTGAAAAAGGATAGGAAGGGAGCAATATACGAAGATAAACTGGCTTCAGTTTTTCCAGACTTGTCTAAACACATCAATTCTCAGATCCAGGAAACCAACAAATTCCAGCCAGGACAATTAAAAAGAAACGCACATTTTCTCTTACAAGACCGTAGAGGAATCCAGAGATGGAAAATGAGTTGTGTACAAAGGAAGGGCCACAACATCAGAGGCCAGGGATGGTGAGCGATGATTTTGACAGCCAAGACAATACAATTATTAATCTAGAGGTCCACACCCAGAGAAACTATCTTTCAAGAATGGGGGCAAAATAAAATTTTCAAACAAAAGAAAATTGAGAGTTTACCACCAACAGGATGTCACTGAAGAAAATTTCAGAGGAAAGACTTCAGAAAGAAGGTGAAATTCAAGAAGGAATCCTGAATGAGGATGAGTTAGTTATCTATTGTTGCAGAACAAATTAAACTTAGTGGCTTAAAGCAATAATTCTTTTCTTGCTGTTTCTGTGGGTTAGGAATTCAGGAGCAGCTGCAGCAGGTGCTTCTGGCTTGGAGTCCCATCTGCTGGGGTCACGGTGTCCTCCAAAGGCTGACTGGGGCTGGCGGACCCACTTGCAAGATGGCACATTCTTTGGCTGTGGCAGAGTGTCTTGGCTTCTGGTCTCCACAGGGCTGCTTGCGTGTCCTCAAGCATGTGGCTGCTTCCCTAGGGTACATGATTGAAGAGGAAAGCCACGAGAAAGCCACGTGCCTTTCAGGACCTAGTCTCAGGAGTCGCTGAGAGTCACAGCATCCCTTCTGTCTTGTTTATTCATTAGAAGCCAAGACTAAGTCCAGTCCTTTCTCAAGGGGCGTGCAGGGCAATTAGGCTCCCCCTTTTCAAGGAAGGAAAATCAAGCAATCTGTGGACACATTTTAAAACCAACCAAAATATATTAGATATATAGGGAAATCTAAGCAAACATTAACTGTATATAATAATAATTATTATTATTACTATTTGTGGGGCGGCGGGGAACAGGATAGAACTGAAATAACACCAATTATGGCATATAAGTAGGGAGGAGTGATTGAGGTAAGGCATTTTAAAGTACTTGAATTGTTCATAAGGAGGGAAAAGATATTAACTTTAAATTTTAGTAAGTATGTATATTAAAACAACTGGGATAACCACGTAAACTAGGAGTTATCCAGTGTGTACCTTCCAATGAAGGGGGCGGGCAGGGAGATGGGATAAGAAAAGGAAAAATAAGCTCAATCTTAAGAAGAAAAGAGGAAAACACTCAGAAAACACATAAGGTGGTAGAAATATATCAGTAATCACAATATATGTGAATGGATTAAACTCTCTAGTTAAAGATGAAGTTGTCAGATTGGACTTTTAGAAATTCAGATGTAAGCTGTTTTAAGAGACAAACCTAAAATATAATGACGCCAAAAAAGAAAAGCTTGAGTAGTTTTGTAAATATAAAGCAAAATAGATATTAAGGCAAGAGACGCTACTGGTGATAAAGAGAGTACATGCCTAATAATAAAAGGCTGAATTTACCAGGAAGATATAACAACCCTAAACTTGTAATCACCCAATAACATAGCCTCAAAATATATAAAATATATTTTAATATATTTATTAATAATATATTTATTAATAATATGTAATTTAATAATAAATATATAAAAATATATAAATCACAAAAGATGTGCAGACAGTTCACTGAAGAGGATATAGAGATGGCATAAGCACATGGAAAGATATTCTATATCATTAGCCATTTGAAAAATGCAAATTAAAACTACGAGATACCAGTACCCCCCAATCAGCATGACTAAAATGAAAAATGGTGAAAACACCATATGCCAGAGAGGATGTGGAGGAACTGGATTGCTCATTCATTATGGGTGGGACTGTCAAATGACACAGCCACTCTCGAAAAGAGTTTGGTAATTCCTGTTAAAACTAAAATCAACTTACAATATATGATGGTTAGTTTTATACGTCACCTTGGCTAGGGTATAGTGCCCGGTCGTTTGGTTAAACAATGTTCTAGATGTTGCTGTGAAGGTATTTTGTAGATGTGGATAAGCTTTACGTCAGTAGACTTTGGGTAAAGCAGAGTAACCTCCATAATGGGGGTGGGCCTCACCCAATCAGTGGAAGACCTGAAGAGAAAAGACTAAGGTCCCCCAGAGAGGAGGGAGTTCTGCTTCCAGACTGCCCTGGGATGCAAGACTGTGACATCAACTCTTCCCTGCGTCTCCAACCTGCCGACCTGCTCTGCAGACTTCAGACTTGCCAGCTCCCACAGTTGCATGAGCCAATTCCTTAAAATAAGTCTGTCTCCCTCTCTCTCTCTCTCTCTCTCTACATATATCTCTGTTGGTTCTCCTTCTCTGGAGCACCGTCACTAAACACATCATACAACTCAGCAATTGTATTCTTGGGCATTCATCCCAGAGAAGTAGACATTTTCATGCAGGAACATGTACATGAATGTTTATAGCAGCTAACTGGCAATAGCCCCAAACTAGAAACTGCCCAAATATCTTCCTGTGGGTGACTGGCCAAGCAAATTATGGCCCATTCCCACCATGGGATGCAATTCAGCAATAAAGAGGGAACTACTGACCCATGCAACAACATGGATGCGCCTCGAGGAAATTATGCTGAGTGGTGAAAGCCAGTCCGAAAAGGATCCATTATGCGTGACCGACTTAGGCAACAGTTGTGAAATGACACAGCTCCAGAGATGCAGAGCCAACGTGGATGTGGCTGCAAAGAGGCAGTGCAAGGGGGTCTTGTGGTGTTGGTTCAGTTGAGTTTCCTGGTTGTGGCGGTGGTTACGCAAGGCTATACGTGTGGTAAAATTGCAGAAGCTACACACGTATGCACACACACACAGGAGTGCAGGTAAAACTGGTGAAATACGAATAAGAGCTTTAGATTGTACCAACGTCAATTTCTCGGTTTTGCTGTTGTAATACAGCTGCACAAGATGTTAATGCTGGGGGGCGCTGGGGAAAAGGTACATGGGACGTCTGTGTACATTTCTTTGCAATCTCCTATGAATCTATAATTATTTCAAAGTAAAAAGGTGAGATAAAACAAATATTTAAGAAAAACGAATTATGTATATATCTCAAGACTGGTCAGAACTGTAAAGAAAAATTGACAAGCCCACATCACAGTGGTAAATGTTAACATATATCTCTCAATAATTGATAAGCCATAGTAGAGCTGAACTTACTAATAATGTGGATCTAATGGACAGACAGAGACCAATGCACGCACTGACAGGAGGACACACATTCTTCTCAAGCACACATGGAGCATTTATAATGGCTTATGATGACAAGCTAGCCCAAAAAGCCAACCCAACAAAGGTCACAATATTGCAGAGACTGCTCTCACACAGACCACACGCAGGTGAGCTAGAAAAACAAAATCCAGCGAGAACTAGAAAAAGCCCAGGCATTGGATATTGAAACAACACACCCGGGGGCTGGCCCAGTGGCACAGAGGTTAAATTCGTGCGCTCTGCTCTGGTGGCCCAGGGTTCGCAGGTTTGAATCCCAGGCGCGGACCTACTGCCACTCACCAAGTTCCACAGTGGCGGCATCCCACATACAAAATAGAGGAAGACGGGCAGAGATGTGAGCTCAGGGCCTTTCTTCCTCACACACACACACACACACCCCTAAACAACTCACGTGTCAAATGAGAAATCACAATGAAGATAGGGAAAAAATTACCTAAAAGATAACAAGAAGAGTATACATTGAAAGCCGGGAGCAGAGGGAAATTCATACATACATTCACCACTCACGGCAGGAAAGAAGAAAGGAACGACTGAGCACGAACTCCAGAAGTGGGAGAAAGAGTGGAATGAATACAAAGAATACAGAAGGAATTATAACAAGTTATTTAAAAATATATTCATTGAGCATACTATGTACCTGCCACTTTTCTTGATGCTGAGAAACAGGCAGACAAAACAGACACAAAATGTCCTGCCCACGTAAGAGAGAATAAGAAAGACTAGAGCAGAAATTAGAAAAATAAAAAACATACATTACGGAAACCATCAACAAAAGCAAAAACTTGGATGAGAAAACTAATGAAGCGCACAAGCAGCACCTAGATTAACAAAGAGCAAAAGAGATAAGGCAGAAATAAACAAGGCCAGGAACGCAAGAGAGGGAAACAAGGACGTATGCTGCAGAAATGAAGTGGATACTTCCACTTCATTCTGTTTGAAGGGGATAAATTCCTAGAAAAATACAAAACTAACTCAGGAAGAAACAGAAAACCTAACTAACCCCATGACTACCAAAGAAATGGAAATGCAGTCATGGGCTAGACAACGACGTTTGGGTCAACGATGGGCCACGTATACGGTGGTGGTCCCATAAGATTAGCAGCATAGACCTAGGTGTGCAGTAGGCACTACTATCCAGGTTGTGTAAGTGCACTCTGTGATGCTGACAGCCTTTTTCAAGGAACTGGCAAGCTGGTTCTGGGGAGGAGCCGAGGGCTCCAGGAAGAAAAGTCGAGAGAGGAAACCTTCTTCAGAGGTGAGGACTCACCCAGGTCTGCCGGGATGGAGGCCGTGGGGCGAAGGGAGCGCCCCTGGCCCTAGAGAGAGGCCGGGCACTCCCTGCGCAGGCGGCAGAGGCCCGGCCACGTGGCCCAAGATGCAGGAAAATGGGGCGGGAATCCTCTCTCCGTCTTACACAAAACCCACCTCCGGGGGAGCAAAAGCTTGCAATCAGCAAATCAAGACAACCTTTAGTGAGCGACAAGGAGAACCTCGAGGTAGATTACTCACCCAAGACCCCAAAGAGCCAATGGTAGAGCTGCGAACGGACACCCCGGGACTCACCGAGAGCTTCTGCGATCCCACCGCAGAGGACTGACCTCCAGGGCACCCAGGTTGACGTCCAGAGCAAACCGGCACGTCAGCAAGGAAGAGAGGAACAACCCCCAGAAAACGGATCGAAGGCTTGAGCAGATGCTTCTCAGAAGACAGGAGAGAGGCTCCACCCTGTCAGTGCCGAGGAACTGCCACAAGCATCCCAAGATTTCACCCGTGCCAGCTTCTCAGAAATCTAAAAATTGTGGGCCGCCCAGTGGCATAGTGGTTGAGTGCAGGGCACTTGGCTTCAGCCGCCCAGGTTCGCGGTTCCAATCTCTGGCGTGGACCTACGCCATTCATCAGCCCTGCTGTGGCAGTGACCCACATATAAAGTGGAGGACAGGCACAGATGTTAGCTCAGAGCTAATCTTCCTCAAGCAAAAAAAAAAAAAAAAAAAACTAAACTAAAAGTTGCACAATACCAAATGTTGGCAAGGATGTGGAACAACCAGAACTGTCATGGAGAGTGCCAGACAGCACATCATTTTGAAAATCACTCAGCATTTGCTAGTGAAGCTGAACACATGCTGCAACCACAATTCACTCCTAGGATGGTCCCCAGAGAAACACTCAGGAGTGTGCAAACATGCACAGCAGCAACCTTACTCCAGACAGCCTGGAGTCGGGAGCCTCTCACGCTCACAGATGGTAGGTAAGTTTGCACACTCACAGCAGAAAGCAATACAGCGACCAGAATGAAGGGACCACAACTTACGATGTCAACACGGATGACTCTCAAAAATATAATGCGAGTGAAAGAAGCAGGTTACAGAACAGTATGTCCAGTAAATAAAATATGGTTTGGAACCAGGAAAAACAACATAACACATGACTGTAGAGACGCAGTGACGGGAGAAAACTATAAAGAGAATCAAGAGAAGAACAAACACAAAACCCAAGAGAGTGGGCCCTCCGTCAGGACTACCACAGGCTGTCTGCCCTTCAGGCAGGCCTGTGTGTGGGTGCTCCCCCTGCACCCGCTCTTCTGTGTCTGCTGCATCTCGCCAGGCAGCACAGGCTTCCCCCACCGGGGAAGGATTTGATGAGTCTGCTTTCCCCCGACAGGTGGTGGGTGGACCTCCCCACCGAGTTCACCCCTTGCTCACTGTGCATGCACTGAGCCTGGCATGCCTCTGGCCCATAGGAGGCACTCAGCAAGCATTGGTTGATTGACTGAGTGAGCACATGAAGAAAGGCAAGTGAAGGGCCTTCTCCCATCAAGGTGTTTCGCACACAAGACACTGGCTTCCGACGAGGCGACTGAGGCAAGGGTGGCCAAGATCTCAGCAGGCCTCAGCGAATGCCCCTCCCTGAGGAGGCTGGACCCTGTGGGCAGAGGTGGGCTCTAAGGACCCCTCTCCCGAGGGCCTCTCCTCGCACCACCTCTTTCCCAGGCAGAGGCACTCCTCTGCTGCTAGGCGGGCCAGGCCTTGCGCAGCACATCTGGAGCCGCGCCCCACCCGTTTCCAGAGGCCCAGGCACCCCACCCAGAGCCCCCTCCCGCCCGCCTGGTGGGCTCTTGCCAGGGCTGGCCTCCCCTCACACCCCCAGCCTGCCTGCCACGGCCCTTGAAAGAAGGAGCCTTTCCGCTCTGGTTCTGTCTTGGAGATAACTCACTCCCAGACTCTGTCCTGGCTGCTCCCTGCTCCCTGTCCACCTCCCTGTCTCTCCTCACAGGCTAATCTGGGCCCTCAGCCATGAGCCCATCTCCCAAGGACAGCATCCAGGCTTCCACTCCCTGCCCCATCCTCCCAGGCCTGGGAGGTCTTCGTCCAAGGACGAGCCAGGTGGGTGAGGTGGGGCTGGCAGCGCAGGGGGAGCAGGCCTGCAGCACTGCGTCTGGGCCCTTTCATGCCGGGCTCTCTCAGCCGCCTTTGTCCTTTCCTTTTCAGCCTGCTGTGCACGCCTCTCCCTCCTCTGGGCTTTCCGGGGTGGAAGAAAGGGCCTGGGGGAAGGGAGGAGGAGTGCTGGCGGGAAACCGTGGCCTGGGGCCCTGTGCTGGCCGCACCCAGGGCCTCTCTGCTGGCGCCCAGCCAGCCGGAGCTTTGAGGCAGCTGAGTGACCTCCCGGGGCTCCCACCCTTCCCGTCAGGGTCCTGAGCTGGAAGAAAGGCTCTTTTGCTGGGCCTGTGGCACCAGACCCTCAGCCCGGGCAGTCGTCCCAGCTGGTTCCAGCCAGCCAGGGTGTTGCCCAGATTCTGCCCCCATCAAATGCTGCCTTTTGGACCCCCACCTCCTCACCCCCAGTCACTGGTGCTCCCGGGTGGTCTTGCCACTGGCTCCCTTCTGCTGTACGGCTGGGATTCCCATTTTGCCGAGGGGATGAAGTGGGGGTGGCCACTGGCCAGGAAAAGGAGTGATGCTTGGCCAGGCTGGCAGAGAGGGCGCATGGGGATGAAAGCAGAGGCCAGACATTTTGTGGGCTAGAGGGGCAGTGCTGGGCTCTGGGGCTGACTGAGCACTGGCCTATCTCAGCCAGCATCCAGGCACCTTGGTGCTGACAAGTTTCCTGGGTCTCTCCTTTATCTGCAGGAGGAGACTGTGTGCAGAAGACCCTTCCTGCTCCCTCCTTCAGGCAGGAGACAGGGGCTGGGCCCATTTGAGCGTGAGTCCTCTTGTTTCTGGGCTTGTGTGACCATGGCACCCTGCCCCTCTCTGCCTGCACCCTCACCTGTCACCTGGGCGCTGGGTGCTGTAGGTCTGGATTCACGCCGCTTGGCTGCTCAGCTTGGAGCTCCCAGCACCTCAAGGGCAGACCCCACCTGGGTCAGCTGGGCATCCCTGGGCCTGACCACTGTGGTGCCCTGCCACGCAGCTCAGGGCTGGGTCAGCACCGCAGGCTGGCTGGCCCTTTTGTGCAGGAAGGGCATGGCAGGGACCTTCCCTCAGGACCAGGCCAGGGAAAAGCTGGGCTCTCCCAGCCGTGAGACCCTCCAAACAAGCCTGCCTCAGAGCCAGCCCCACCCAGGCCTGGCCTCCTGCCTCCATGCCCAATGCACACCACACACCACGACCCCCCTGGAGAAGGGTGGGGGTTCTCTGGGTCCTGCGGGAGTGGAACCCCTGAGAGCGCACTGGAAGACCCTAGGCGGCAAGCACTAGGGGTCAAGGGGACAGGTGAGAGGGGATGAGTCTTTGGAGCTCAGCAGACAGGAATGAGAAGGGTGGGCGATAGCTTCTGGGCGCCAGGGCTGCGACCTGGGCACTGGGAGGAGCGGCGCGGTGACTCAGCCGCCGCGGCTCTCACCTGCGCTCCGGGAGCGGGCTCCGGAGGGCGGGGGCGGGGCGGGGCGGCCCTGGGGGCGGGGCCAGCCGTGGATGGTGCCGGCCAGCGCCCCACCCCGGGAGCCTACCCCGCTGCCCCCGGATCGCGGCCTCCCGGCTCCCCGCCGCCCCTCCGTCAACGCCTCGACCGCCCGCGCACCCATCCATGGCCAGGAAGGTCCTGTCGCTGCTGCTGCCGTCGTTGCTGGCCGCGGTGGGCCTCGCCGGCCTCCTGCTGCTGTGCGTCCCCACCCGCGACGTCTGGGAGCCGCCCTCCCTCAAGGTGCACGCTCTGGCGTCCCGGCGCCCGGCGCAGTCCGCGGAGCAGCCGGCCCAGGCTGCGCCCGCGAGGCAGCCCTGGACCCCTACCCGCGCTCCGGCCCCGGCCCCGCGGGGTGGAGTCCCCGGCCCCGCGAGCACCGCTCCCGGCCCCGCGCTCTCTGCTCCCCGCCGGGTCCACCCGGCGGCAGCGGCGCTTCGTGGGCGACACGGTGCTGGAGGCCAAAGTCCCGGGAACTCCCTGCTTACGGACCCTGTCACGGGTGCGGCCTAGGGGCTGTGTCTTCCCTGCCCGGACGCAGCCTCGGGGCTCCCTACGCCGCGGCAGGACACGCGCCTTCCAAACCAGTGCGGCCGCCAGGGGCACATCGACTCAGGGTTCGGCTCAGATGGGGTTCGACAGGCGCCGGGGCCCAGGGAACCCTCCCCACCAGCTCCGTGGCCCAGACAGTGCGGGCGCTGCCTTTGAGGGGGGCCTGGCGGGGGCAGCCAGGGCTGGTCCTAAAGCAGTTGGGGTGGGCTAGGCCAGATTTCCGGCTGACCCAGCCTCCAGGAGTCCGCCTGGCTCCCTTAACCCTTTATTGTCTGGGGGTGGGGGGGCTCCAAAGTCCAGTACCCCAGGATGGCAGGTCCCAGGGGTGGGCGCCCTGTAACCAAGGGTGACCACTGGGTGGGGGTGGGGTGGGGTGGACGGTTTGGCCTGCTGGTGCTGATGCTGGAGATACCTGGTGCGGGGGAGGCGGGGAGGGGTTCCTCCTCCCCTCAGGAGGGTGTGTTCTCCAGCTGGGCTCCCCCTGTCGGAATCCAGGCCCTTGGGGGCAGCTCCTGGAAGGTGGCATTTGCAAGCTGGGTGCCAACCTCTCCTCACCTGCAAGGAAGGTCCGGCCAGTGCCCCTCAGCTCTTCAGAACAGAGCTCTTTCTGGCCCTGGCTTTGAGGCTCAGGAAGGGGGTGTCTTAGGCAGCCCCAGCCCCGCCTCCCCCACCCTTGCTTTGGCATCCTCAGGTTGGGCTGAAGTCAGAGAGATGGGAGCACAAAGGAGAAAGGAAGAGCGGCTCAGGGGTCCCTCCTGCAGCTGGGCTTCTCTCTCCCAGCCTGGGGGCCTCATGTCCCCAGGACAAGGTTCTAAGGGTGGTCCTGGGACCCTCTGACTCTGACACAGCCCCTCAGCTTGCCTTTACCAGGTAGGCTCCTGCAGTCAGAGGGGAAGAGGCTCCTGGCCACCTATCCCTGCCCCCATCCTCCCCCCAACCAAGCTGTGTCACTGGCTGTCCCTGGCCTTCTCAGAGCCTCAGAACTTCATTCTGAAGCTTCCAACCTCGACACAGGGTGGGGTGGGGTGGAGAGCTGGGGGAGGCAAAGGGCATGGCCATCAGGCCTCTGCCCACACCCCGAGACTGCCCTCCACCCCACCCCTAGTATGGGATTGTTCTGGACGCTGGTTCTTCCCACACGTCCATGTTCATCTACAAGTGGCCGGCGGACAAGAAGAATGACACAGGCATCGTGAGCCAGCACAGCTCCTGTAACGTGCACGGTGAGAGTCCCCGAGTGCTGGGCGCTCTCTGGCCTGGATCCCCACTCCCTGGAGGCCTCAGGGGCCCTCTCCAGCCTTAGCTCTGTAGGCCCAGCAGTCAGGTCCCTTTGTTGATACTGAGGGGTGGGGGGGCTCACTCCAGGCAGATGCTACAGGACCCCCGGAAAGAGAGGCTGGGCCCCTGGGCCTGGAAGGTGCTGGGGGCAGTTCCATGCTAGAAAGAAAACCCCAGATACTGGTTGGGCCTTTCCCGACCCAAGATTGGCCTTTATACCGCAGATGGAACAGGAGGGGCTCCAAGGAGCTGGTGGACACACCCAGGCAGCCCCCTGGGTGGCTAGGCTGGGTTGACAGTGCTTTGTTGTGGCACCTGTGTGCACACCCACTGGGCAGGTGGCAGCCTCAGAGACTCTGGGTGGCCTGCAGGTCCCTTTGTGTCTCTGAACTGGGCGTCTCTGAGGCTTATGCTGGGAAGGTGTATCTAAGCTGCCACCTGGTTTGGGAGCCAAAGCCCCCCAGCCCTGCTGGCCTCTGGCCTGCCTAGGTCTGACCACCTGGCAGTCTTTAGGTGGGGGCATCTCCAGCTATGCAGACAACCCTTCCGGGGCTGGGCAGAGTCTTGTCGAATGCCTGGACCAGGCGCTTCGGGACGTGCCCAAGGACAGACACAGGGGCACGCCCCTCTACCTGGGAGCCACGGCAGGCATGCGCCTGCTCAAGTGAGTGTGCCCACCCCCCGACCTTCCTGGCCCCAGGCCCACACAGCAGCCCGGGCATAGGGTGGGCCCCACATGCCCTCCACAGCAGCCCTGGACTGGGCCCCCCTCAGCTGGCTGGGCAGGTGCCATGCTCCCCAGCAGCAGGATCACAGCCACCTGGGAGCTGCCCCTCAGAGTCCTCCTTGTGTCACAGCCTGACCCGTCCAGAGGCCGCGACCAACGTGCTTGCAGCTGTGACCCGGACACTGACGCAGTACCCTTTTCACTTCCGTGGGGCCCGCATCCTCTCGGGCCAGGACGAGGGGGTGTTTGGCTGGGTGACTGCCAACTACCTGCTGGAGAAGTTCATCAAGGTGGGCCTGGCAGCTGGCCCGATGAACTGGGGGTCACGGGCACCCACCCACTGGCTCACCCCAATCTCCCCTGTCCACAGTATGGCTGGGTGGGCCAGTGGTTCCAGCCAAGGAAGGGGACGCTGGGGGCCATGGACCTGGGGGGCGCGTCCACACAGATCACCTTTGAGACAGCCAGCCCAGCTGAGGACCCAGCCAATGAGGTCCAGCTGCGGCTCTACGGCCAGCACTACCGCGTCTACACCCACAGCTTCCTCTGCTATGGCCGTGACCAGGTCCTCCAGAGGCTGCTGGCTGGAGCCCTCCAGGTGCCCCATGACCCCCAGCCCACTTGCCCTGGAGGGAGGGGGTGAGAAGGGATGGGGCCAAGGGCCCAGAGCAGAGCTGGACAGCAGCCACATTGAGGGGCTTCTCCAGGCAGCAGCCACCGAAGCCGGGCTTAAACTACTGGAAGGACAGGTGGGGAGGGATCCAGCATGGGCAAAGGCCAGTGGCTGAGGCAGGCCTGGTGAGTGCCTGGCTGGGGAGAAAGGAGGCCAGGGCCAGATCTCAGGGGGCCTGGCCAGAGGTGTTGGGTTTTGTCCAGCAGGCAGTGGGCAGCCATGGATTGCTCCTGAACACAGAAGTGATATGGCCAGAGTGTGGAAGTTGTGGGAGCCTCATCAGGCTGGTCCTGGGGGATGCCCTGTGAGGGTCCGGGGTGAGGGTAGTGGGCAGTGCTTGGAGTGGAGGTGGTGTCACCTGCACCCTCGTCATTCCCCCAGACCCATGGCCCCCACCCCTGCTGGCCGAGGGGCTACTCTGCCCAAGTGCAGCTCCAGGATGTGTATGATTCGCCGTGCACGGCAGCCCAGGGACCCCTGACCTTCAACAGCAGTGCCAGCATCAGCCTGTCGGGCAGCAGCGAGCCGGCCCTCTGCCGCAGCCTTGTCTCGCAGCTCTTCAACTTCTCCTCCTGCCACTTCTCTCAGTGCTCCTTCAATGGCGTCTTCCAGCCCCCTGTGACAGGGAGCTTCATCGTGAGTCCAGGCGGTGGGCATGGGCAGCGGCACCCTGAAGCTGTGGGCTCTGGCCGAGCTGTGGCTATGCCCCTCACAGGCCTTCTCCGCTTTCTTCTACACTATGGACTTCCTGAGGACCGTGATGGGGCTGCCTGTGGCCACCCTGCAGCAGCTGGAGGCGGCTGCCACCACTCTCTGCAGCCAGACGTGGAGTGAGGTGAGGCTGGCTCCCCCCCGGGCCACACAGAGGGCTCAGCCAGCCCACATCATACCTCCTGTCACTCATTAGCTCTACAACTAGAGGGGGACCCAGGCCTTTCAGAGCACCCACTGCAATGGGGGACACACCACTACTCAGACTCAAAAAGTGGCCAGACTACGGCAGGGAGACCAGGAGCCAGACGAGATCGGGCCTGACCCTAGAACCAAAAGCTGGAAGGCAGAGGGAACAGCCAGTGCAAAGGCTCTGAGGCAGTGGGGAGCATGGGTGGAACAGGTGCAGGGAGGAGTTGGGGGGGATGCCCCACCAGAGAAGTGGAAGGCTCAGGAGAGACTTAGCTGGGCTGGGGGGTGAGGGAGCGAGGAGTGAAGACAGCTTCCAGGCTTCTGGCTTCTGCCACAGGCCAGATGCTGGTGCCAGGTAAAGGAGGATGGGGGTTCTGGGCATGTAGAGCATGAGGGCCCACCGGAGACTCCAGGAGAAACATCAAGTGTCTGCAGGCTCAGGGGGTGGCAGCAGCCCCATCCTGTCCTGTTTCTAGTCTCAGGCAGATGGGGGCGGGGCCGGGGCAGGAGGGAAGCCCAGGGTCCAGGGCTCAAGCCTGGAGCTTCTCCTGTTCCCCTGGTCGAGCGCCAAGGTTGTTGCAGCCTCTGCTCCTGGGTGGCCATCCCTGCCGACCCCTGGACCCTCCCAGGTGCAGGTGCTGGCCACCATCCAGAACTCAGGCTGTTCCTCCCAAGGGAACACTCCAGCTGAGGGCGGCCGCCTCGGCCTTCCTGGGCCCTGTGAGTGGTCTCTGGCCCAGCGTTACCGGTGCGTGTGTGTGTGTGTGTGCGCGCGCGCGCGCGTGTGGAGAGGTGCAGCATGTGCCAACCACCCCTCCCCGGGGGCCGAGACCTCCCAGTGAGCCAGCCGGACAGTCTCCCGTCTGCGTCCCAGCTGCAGGCTCGGGCGCCCGGCGAGCGGGCCCACCTGCCCAACTACTGCGCTGGGGCCACGTTCATGCAGCAGCTGCTGAGCCGAGGCTACGGCTTCGACGAGCGCGCCTTCAGCGGGGTGACCTTCCAGAAGAAGGTGGGAGCTGGCGGCGGGCGCAGGGGCGGGGCGCCCGGGCCGCGCTGAGGCTGAGGCCACGCCCCTCGCCCGCAGGCCGGAGACACCGCGGTCGGCTGGGCGCTCGGCTATATGTTGAACCTGACCAACCTGATCCCCGCCGACCCGCCGGGCTTGCGCAAGGGCACAGACTTCAGCTCCTGGGTCGTCCTCCTCCTGCTCTTCGCCGCCGTGCTCCTGGCCGCGCTCGTCCTGCTGCTGCGCCAGGCGCGCTCCGCCAAGTCGCCGGGCGCCATCTAGGGGCGGGCTGGGCACAGCTGCCCAGCCCCATCTCCCCCAGCCTTCCCCTCACGCCACCTCCCAACACCTCTGCCCCTAATGCAGCCCCGGACGGAGACCGGGACTCTGGTGCCCACGCAGGGCCAGGCGGGTGAAGGGAACTGAATCCTGCCCCTCCTGCCCCCTCCAGCCTTGACTTTGCCTCAAGGCCTTGTGCTCCCCCTCTTCTTTTTGGGGGTAGGGGATCAGACACCCCACAGCCCTCAGCCTGGGGCTCCAGGGAGTGGACCTTTTATTCTGATAATCAGGGCCCTCAGAGTCCCTCCTACCCCCACCCTCCAGAGTCCTGGTCTCTGGGGGAAAGGGGTCAGAGCCCACAGGCTAGGTGCCAGCCCAGTGCCTACTTGTAAAAATTTTGAATTAAAGAGTTTTTCCTAGAGCAGCGGAGAGAATGTTCATGGGATGGGGCCTCTTTGCCATTCCCTGCCCTCCCTCCCCACAGCTGTGTTAGCCATGAAGACCCACTCCTGGTCCCAAGGGAGGACCCCAGCTCTTCCTGCTCTCTTCCTCTCTGGGCCCAGACCTGGGCGGCCCTGCCCTGCTCCCCTCCTCTGCTGTGGTGGCCTGGAGTAGCTGCAGGATGGCTGGCCTAAGAGAGAGTCCTTGAGTCCCTTGAATCTCCGGCCAGCAGAGCCCCAGCAGCACCCTCAGATCTGCATCAGTGTTCCAGGCCAGACCGGAGGCTGGGCCCTGGCCTAGAGTTGGCCTGGGGGTGGGGGACACAGAGGTGGCAGAGGGGGAGGCAGTGAGCAAGGTGGCTGCCTAGGGTGCGGTCTGTGCTGGAAGAGACTGGGGGAGGGGGCAATTTCTCAACAGGAGGTGCTGTGGGGGTGTCGAGAACAGGGCCGGGAGGGACGCAGGGCCCCACGGCTCAGAGAGATGAACCTCTCAGAGCCTGGCTCTAGAGCCAAGCCACCCAATCACACAGGGACGCCACTTCCCTCCTGCTCCGATGCTGTTTTCTGCATCCCAGAGAGACAGCCCCCGCCCCACACCTGCCACTCCTGCAGCCCCTCCCTTCAGCACTGTCTCCTCTAGCGGCTGAGGGCTTGTCTTGGCTGCGTCTCCCTGACCCCCACCTTTCTGGGAAGTGAGCTCAGACACCACTTCTGCCTAGTCAGTGCTCTGTAGGGGAGAGGGCGGTCCCTGTTCTGCTCACCCCCTCCCCCTTCTGCCAGTTTCTGAGCTGTTTCACACCTGAGGGCAGCCAGCCCTGTCTTCCGAGTTCTGAGACACAGCTGAGACGAAGCACCGGGTTGGGGGGCTCATGGTTTTCTCCCGAGGACGTGAGCCAGAGGGACGTTTCCAGGTGGGATGGGAAGGGTGTGCTTTCAGGAGGCAACAGGTAGGGTGTAAGAGGGTGAATCGTACCTGCTTGTCGTGGGGCCCCAGGGAGCTAAAAGGCTGACACCTGGGGACCGTGGACAGCTCCCAGCTGGCTCTTCCCAGCAGCTCCAGGTCCCTCTTGCCCCCAGGTGGCCTCACTGAGAGCGGGTGCCCCATTACAACCACAGTGGCCACCAGCACTGGCCGAGTTCTGTGCGTGTGTTTTTACCCTTGTGTCTCGGAATGCCAGGTGGGTCTTTGGGCACACCTGTGCCTCCCTGCTCACCTGCCCGTCTGTATGCGCCTGGTGTCCCTGTGTTGCTGGGTGTTCGAGCCTCCTGGCCCAGGCAGGTCCCCTGCTCCAGAACGGGATCGGGGGGAAGGCTGGGGAGGACTGGGGGGACGGGGGGTGGTGTTGGCAGCCCGACGGGGAAGGGGCCGTGGGGAAGCGCATCTCGGGGAAGCTGAGCCGCAGCCAGTCCCTAGCCAGATTTATGGAGAACTGAGAAGATCCCCAGCTGCAGAGATCGCAGAAATTGAGGTACCCTGAAGCCTGGAGAGGTGGGGGTCCAGAACTGGAGGGAGGGGGAGGGGGCGAAGCCTGGAGATGCCGGCCCGCCCCCGCAGGAGGAGCGCGCAGGCGCACTCCCCGTGTGCGCGCCTGTCGCCGCCGCGCCTCCATTCCGGATCCTTTGCCGCAGCGTCAGCACCGCCGCCGCTTTCTCTCCTCCTCCTCCTCGGCCTACGCCTCCTCTTCTTCCTCTGCCTTCTCCTCCCGCTCTTCCTCCTCCTCCTCCTCCGACACGACGCCCGGAGCCTGCGCCGAGTCCCGGGCCGCGCGGTGCCATGCTGCCCCGGCGGCGGCGCTGAAGGATGGCGACGCCCGTCCCTCCGCCCTCCCCGCGGCACCTGCGGCTGCTGCGACTGCTGCTCTCCGGCCTCGTCCTCGGCGCGGCCCTGCGCGGTGCCGCCGCCGGCCGCCCGGGTGAGCGAGCGCGCTCGGCGCAGGCCGCGGGGCGCCCCGGGGCCGGAGATCGCCTTGCGGGGGTCTGGATGCGCGGCGCCGCTGTCACCCTCCCTGCCAGCCCCGCCTCGCCAGGGATGGGGTAAACAGGCCTGGCCCGGAGGGCGCGGCGCCCGGGCCGTCGAAGGGCTCCCCTGGAAGGGCCTTCTCCCAGGTTGCTGGGGGCGAACCTGAAGTTCATGCGCTTCTTGTCTTTGTCTCTGGGTCCGTGAACCTGTCTGTGTCTGTGTCTCCGGAGTGCTCTGCGTGGCCCGCCGCCGGAAGTCTGTCCTGTGCGCGCGTCTGTGTGCGCGCGTCTCGGCCCCGCCGGTGCGGGCCTGGCCCTGTGTGCCTGCCGGTCTTGCTGCCCGTGTCTGTCCCTTCTCTCCCGAGTTGGGGGTCGCAGTGCTGGTCTGCCTGTCCCCATGCCTCGGATAGTGTTGGGCACGCACCTTGCTTTGCTGTCATGGCGGGGTCTGAGGCATTTGTCAGCTTGTCCCAGGCATAAGGTCTTGTTCTGGCTTCAGTGGGGGCAGGAGGCACTTCCAGTCTCAGAGCTTCCTCCCTCACACCAAGCCGTGGAGGACCCAGCCATTCTGTCTTCTGTGCTAGGGGATGAGGGACACCCCAAGGGGAGACTCAGGCAGACAGCGATGAGCCCAGGGTCCTGGGAGACCCCGTCTCCTTCCCACATGGGCACTGAGGCTCCAAGTGGCCAAGGGCTACAAGAACCCACTATCGGAAATACACTCCCCAGGGTGTGCCCATACTTCACTCAATTCTCCTGGCAGCCCCATAGGAGAGATGCTATTTTTAGCCTATTTTACAGACAAGGAAACTGAGGCACAGAGAAGATAAGTGACTGGTACGTGGTGCAGCTGGGATGTCAACCTGGGCACTGTGCTTCCATGTGTGTGGCCTCAAGAGGCCAGAGCAGAGCAGGCTTCTTCCTGGGCAAGCCCCCCTGCACAGGAGGCTGGCAGGGCCAAGGGAGGCTCCCCAGGAGGCCTGAAGGCTGGAGCAGGGCTGGCCAGGGACGGTGGAGGCCACCTGCTGAGAGCCTGGCTCCAGGGCATGCAGGGCGGGGCCTCTTGATGAAATGGACTGTAGGGCTGTGCTGAGCCCCTGGCGTGGGCAGGTGCCATCCCAGGTGCTTTATGCTCACCCAGTTGCAGGGTGGGGTGCCAGCCACTCTCCAGCTGCCATTGTTCCAGGGCCCTCCTCCTGCACCCTGAGGCTGGAGTGGGGACTTTCCCAGGACTAAACAGGCAGCAGCTACGTCCTTCTGAGCAAGGGGCAGGGGCGCTGGGAGTGCAGGGAGACTCCTGGAACCCAGACCCCAGAGCCAGCTTTGTACCTCGGGCCCCTACCCTTGGCCTGGCACACTCTGGGTTGTTAGCACCAGGAGAGGGGACTACCTGGCTCCCAGGCACTCAGCCGATGGGTGGGGTCCAGACTGACCTGCTGGCACAGGCTTAATATTTAACTAGCTCCAGCCCCGGGCCCAGCTCACTGATACTGGCATCTGCAGATCCTGATTGTGCAGGATGGGGGATCCCTGGGATGGCGATGCTGGAAGTTGCTTGCAGGGATGCCTACGGCCAGGAGACTCTGAGTGTCAGGTTACCAAGGAAACCAAGCCAGGCTAGCCAAGGTCTAGAGGACAGAGGTGGGCATTCCCTGATCCCCCATGTCACCGTAGGCCACAGTGGTCTTCGTGCAGTGTGGGGTGGGGGCTGGGCTGAGAGCAAGCGTCCTGGTCCTCCAGAGACACCCTCATCCCAGCCTCCCCAAGCATAATTGACGGTCCTGCTGGGTATCTCACTGGCTCTACTGGCTCTGCTGCCTGATAACTGGGGCCAGTGTCCCAGGCTTCAGGACATTCCTTAGCTTTGAGGCAACTCACCTTCTGCATCCCAGAGGGGAAACTGAGGCAGAGAAGGCCACTGTCCTCCATCCCCCAGCATCAGGATGGAACCCATTGGCTGAGTGTACAGGACACCGAAGTCTGGACCCCAAATCAGGAACTGGGCCTCCCTGGCACTCCCTGGTCCCTGGCAGTGTGGCTGCGGGAGTGACCCCAGTCTAGGTTCTGTATCTGAAGTGAGTGAGACTGGCAGACCCTGTCCCAGCAGGGCAGTGCCCAGCAGTGCTTCCGTGCCCTGGGGACCAGCAGACGTTAGACATGGAGGGTTGCTATCTTCCTGGCCAGCAGGGATTCTGTCATTTCCAGCTCAGCTCTCTAGGGCTATAGGATGACATAAGGGGGTTGGGGGCGCAGCCCTGATGTGGTAGGAGGGGTGGATGGCCAGCATCCTTTGTTCCTCCTGAGCCAGAGAGGGAGACCTGGGCCCCAACCTCTGGGGCTCCCAGTCTGGACTGAGGCTTGCTCTGGGGCACGTAGAGACCAGAGGCGGGACTTGGAGGGCTGTAGGCCCTGCCGGGGAGAGCTTTGTGTTGTCTGGACAGTGAGGGACAATTTCCGTGCAGAGGGCTGGCTCAGGCCTGGAAAGTGGACTCTGGGGAGTGGGTGGGGCAGATGAGTTCCGATAAGTCTTGGGACTGTTTGTCTTCCTGGTTCTGACCCATGGTGGTTGGGAGGAAGGGCCTGCCCAGAACAATGGCCTGAGCCAGGCCTGGCCAGCTCTGTGGAGAAGGGGGAGGGGTGGCCGGGGCAGTACTGCCACTGGGCAGGGGCCGAGTCAGGCAGGGCTGTGACCCTGCTCTGCCTCTGCTTCCTTCCCAGATGTGGCCGCCTGTCCTGGGAGTCTGGATTGTGCCCTGAAGAGGCGGGCACGGTGCCCCCCGGGTGCACACATCTGTGGGCCCTGCCTTCAGCCCTTCCAGGAGGACCATCAAGGGCTCTGCGTGCCCAGGATGCGCCGGCCTCCGGGTACGGAAGAGCAGGATGTCCTTCCTCTGTCCCCTGCTGGATATGTTTTCCTCATGGCCTCAGCTCCCGGGTCCCCTGAGTTTTGTGGGATGCCAGGGACTCTCATGTCACTCTCCTTTCCAGATGGCACCAGCCCAGAGCCTGGCAGTGGGCTGAG